AAGACAGCAAAATATTATGCAGTGTTTATTTTATTTGTTGATCATTCTTGGTTTTGTTTATTTATTGTCTAACATACACTCAACCTCATAACTTTTCTATTTTTGACTGTAATTTAGTAATAATGTGCACCTATTTTAAAATCTTCTTTGGAACGATATCTAATGTGAAAAGCACTTTACCAATACACTTGAATTGGATTGCTCTTAGCTCACAATATTGTGTGATAGTGTTTAGTAACCATTCTTGGTGTGGATAATAGTGAAATGATCAAGTATTTAAAGGAGCAGTAGACAAAACTGCTGCATACGCCCATAATAACAAGGTTTATTCTGAAAATGTAGCTCTATATACATTTCTGGAGATCGTGAATTATGTAGCCAGAAGTACGTATGGCTGCATTTCATCTTTAAACGAATGCTACAGGACAGTATGTCGCCTTACATTTTCAGCTCTATATGAGCGGCTTAACCATTGTTAGCAGTTTGTTCAGTTAGCTCGCCACATATGTTAGCAGAATTTAGATGCAGAGAAGAGTTGACCGTGATAATGGGGTTTGAAAAATGGGGACAAAAATCGAAGCAAGTAAATAACAGGGTGAGATTGTGGTAAAATCTGAAACTGTGGTAAAAATCAGTCAAGGGTTTACTCTTTCTGGACTGCTTCTTTAAATGTTAGTTGGGTTTAGGGAAGTGGGTGTACGGATTAATTTGTGCTTTTGAAAACACTATTGGTTGAGTTTAGGGAAGGAGGAGGGTTGGTCAGTCGAACGATCAGTCAGTCAGTCAATCAGTCTACAGCGGCCTCTGGTGGATTTAGGTGAGAACAGCAGCCACGAATGGCACTCGCAAGAGACTTACTCAAAAAACTTACACAGTGACCTCTAATGGATTTACAATAACAAACACTGCAAAAAGCATAGCTCTTGGGATGTATTTGGCGCTCTTCAGAAATGTATACAGTATATATGTTTGTGTATATAGTACGTTTTCAGAATGAGTCTGGGTTCCAAAATAAACAATGCTATTGTGTGTTGTTGTGTACTCTAATTATCGTTCTTGTTTGGCCTGGACACTAGCTATCTTATAATAACTGTCAGTTATTGTGTGAACTGGCCTTTAGAACAGGTAACAGCTTTACGAAGCACAATGATTTAAAAGGGTGGCATTATGGGAGCATTGTTTGGATGCTGTGTATCAGCTGGATGGTGTGGGTTCAGACATTGGCAGATCCTCCTGGCTGCGACTGGTTGAAGCACAAAGAACATTCCACAGCTGTGAGTCAGAGAGCAGGGGTCACTGATTCAAACCCATCCCAGCACTGGAGCCTTTTGATACAAAGACCTTTCCCATGTTGCACACATAGTCATGGACTCACAAAATACCATTAAAATCTTTGTGCACAAAGAAGTGCTCAGGACTTGCCAACTACATCAGTGGTGATAAGATGCCGTCCATCACCAACACAATAACCAACCAGTAGGCGTATAAAGGGATAGAAGATGGACTACCTGGTCCGCATGTTCTTCTGAAGCGTTGACCCGCTGTGCCGGCTTGCTGGCTGTTGACAAAAACCCACCTTGGCAAGTCGGTGTAGCTTTTCACACAGTCAGGGAAAGCAAAGCACCTGATCAAACTCAGCTCTGCGCTCCCATGGATCCTCCAGAGGAGAGCGTTATGTCATGTAATAATATTATTCTGCCACTCCTACACCAAGCGATCAGGTTCAGTCTAGCTTATACAAGGAAAAACAAGTTTTTAGTGTGAGAATGATCCTTTGAGTGCACTGAGGGTGGTAGGTATTGTGGCAAAACCCCTCATTACGGCTATATTTTCTTCAGATTCAGCTAAGGACATCCTGACAGGAGCTTGTGGGGTCTGAAATTCAAGACTGATGCGCTATAACCGGCCTAAATGTTCAGTGGATAGTGACAGATGGCATGGATGAGGATGATGTAAAAAACACAAACCAGACATGGGGAGCCAGAAACAAATGTCAACAAAGAAACACATCTGAGATTGTGAGAATAATGAATAGACATCTTAAAAGGCAAATCAAACCAAGCATGGTAATGAGCTTCACAGGATGGGAAGTTTGTGTGTCTTTTGGTTGTGGTGGGTCGGTGTCACAGTCTGTTAAACATGGAAAAAAGCGTATTTTTTCTGTTCCTAATGTGCTGGAGAGTTAAAGCAGCTATGGGTGACCAGAAATGCCAATAAACACGCATCCTCCTGCTATTATTTTTATTATTTTACTAATATTATTAAATTTAAATAAAATAATATTACTCCAATAATCAATACTAGTACTGTACTGAAGATTTAGTAATAGTATTGCAGTAGTTATTTTAAAAGGATTTCGAATCGAATCATCTAGTTAAGAAATAAATTACTATTAGAGTAACTTTACAACCAAAAAAACTATAAAGAATTTTTAACATTGCAATACTATTGTACTTTAACTTTAATAATAATAATCATAATAATAATAACAACATTGAAAGTGTCAATTAATTAATACTACAAATAATATTACATCCAATGATCTTATTTTTCAGGTCTAAAAAGTTCACATCTGGACATTTTATTTTATACATCACACACTTATTACAGAAAGTCATATTTTATATATAATAGTTTTTTCATTCATTCATTCATTCATTCATTCATTCATTCATTCATTCATTCATTCATTCATTCATTCATTCATTCATTCATTCATTTATTTTCCTTAGGCTTAGTCTTTGATAATTTTTCATTAATTAGTTCAATTTTACATTTACATTTAATGTATTATAGAGATAATAATAATAATAATCATCATTAAGCACATTAATTACAGGCCCGTAGCCAGGGTGGTTCGGGTGGTTCGAGAGATCCACGCCCCACCCCCCATTTGCCTTATTTTGACTGCTATGCCATTACAAATTGTGAAAAGAACCCATCTAAGAAGGCTCCCAATGAATGCAAACAATTATTTTTCATGAGTCTAATGTGCAAGAATATGATGGAAGTGGTCATCTTTCAATACAAGTAGCCCAACTTTTATTTGGAATCTTCTGACCTTATTCTTGAAAGAAAAATACCAATAAAAAGATTTGATGCATAGAAAGTCCCCCATTATAAAGTAAATTCTAATACTACTCATTTTTGTTATCCATAAACTTTCAAAATGTATTTTTAAAACAAAAACTTTTTTTTTCCATGTAAAACTTTAACTCATTTTTTTCTAGTGATATATGATGTAATACATCTGTATTTTAAGTATTTTTTTCACATTTCTTTATTCTATATATTTACCAAATGTTCTTTTGTACCTTTTGGTATCCGAGAAGCTAATCCAGCTTAAAAAAATGCTTAAAATGTCACAAAAATGCAGTATTTGTAACTGCAAAAAGGTCCAATTGCAAAAAAGGGTACGGGCCTGTATTATTAACACTGTATAGTACACACACACACACACACACACACACAAATAAAAAAGGAACACGGTGGTACAAATAATGTTCCTTAAGGAACAGTTTTGTACCTTTTTAAAAGTTGTACCTTATATGGTACAGAAAAGACCTCTTATGATACTGTTCTGTACCTTTTATGGTACAATTGAAATAAAGGTACACAATTGTTCTCATAAAAAAGCTACACAAGTTTTGGACAACTCCTTTATTAAAATATCTATGAAAATAAATATATGACTGGAAAGGCAAAGTGATTTTATGATTAATTTCCATATTAAAACATGAATCATCTTTTAAAAGCATGTTTAAAGAAACTCATAAACATTAATTATTAAGTTCTAGAATACAAAAAAACTGGTAAAACAAAACTATAGGCATTGTAAACTACACATTTTAAGGCATTTTTAATAAACATTTGCTAAGCATTTTCATCATTAATATCCGCACCTTTTGGCCTACGCATGTGAGCTGGCTAAAGTCCTGCATATGCAGTGTTCATGCAGACATTTTAGTATTGTAAAACCAATCAAACATTGTGCATATTTCATTACAATCCTTTTGCATAATTCTTTTTCTATTTTAAAATAACTAAATTAAATTAATGTTTAAGTGATCACAAATTGTTAAAAATTGGAGAAAAATGTTTTGTATTGTACATGGGAGAATGTGTTTCTGTACCACTTTTGTGAAAAGTCTTGTGAAATGTTTAGCAAAAAATAGATCTTTTGATTTATGTTAAAGTATTTTTTTATTGTTAATTGTAAATGGAAAAGGTGCATATAGACAAAAATAGACTTAAAAAAAACACATTGTTTAAAAATGTATTTGATATTTTATATTTACTGAAAATAAATTGACATTTTGGATATAGCAAATTGCCTTTTAATAGTTCATGAATGAACACATTTGACACTGTTAAGGTACAAAGTGTCTTGTCACTGTAGTGGTACCTTCATGGATCAGATTTGAACCTTTGATGAAGGTACAATATTGTATCTGCAGGTTTTAAAAACCAAAGGTACATTTTTGTTTCCCATGACACAAATCATGTCCTTAAGGGTACAAACTGCAATGGTACAAATGTGTTTCTTTTTCTTATAAGGTACCATTCTGTCTCATAAAAAGGTACTGCCCCAGTGGCAAAGGTTTGTACCTTCTTTGGTACAACATTGTATCATTTTTTCTGAGAGTGTATTTATTGAGAAAACATTTTTTGTAGGGTTCTAATAGTGGTACAGTATGAACAGAAACACCAATGCGCACTCATTCTCTTTCTCAAATACAATTCAGACAGACAAGACTGTAGTACTGTATAACAGTGCCATGATTTGTTTTTTAGACTGACTGTGGAGTCTGGGAGGGGAGAGTTTTAGGAACAGGGTCATACCACCGGGTACATTTATCCGGCAGAAAATATGAAGGAAAGCACCCAGGGATTTCCAAGTGACTCAACATGCAGACCTCCCACTTGTAACGACCCTCTTATGGCACAGGGGCTTGTATTTCATGTGTCGTCCAGCACACAGTAATAACTACGTCAGACAGTATGATCTGAAGCAGAGTTTTATTACTCAGCAGAGCTTAAACACCATTTTCATCAAATCTTTCCCTCAAAAAAGACAGAAAAAGGTGAGGTACACAGTAGGGGTATCAAAACCATCTCTTCGTTCTGTTTTAAAGTGACACACAGGTTTGTTTCTAGTAATCACACTCGTTATACTTGTATGTTTTGTGATACTATAAAAGCACAATGCTGTTAAATGTCCTAGTTCTCTGTCATTAACCCTGCTAGTAACACAGGAAACTGCTGGAAATAATAGCCAACGGCAACCCATAATACATCTGCAAGCTGAGACAGTGTGTATGGGAACAGCATTATTCGGCAGCAGTATAAACGACAGAGATACGGCCCTGATATCAAGTCTATACCTGGCACAAATGCTATGGCTACAGCTCCGACAATCCCACGTCAACACAGTGGCAGTATTGAAACACCTCTGAGGCAGTCATTTCAAAGGCTTTTCTTGCTTTACTCAAAGTAAAACACTGTTATAAATATTGCAGAAAAAAATCTGAATTTTACAAACGGATTGTCCGATTCAGAGGAAGCGGGGTCAGAGCAGGGCGATGTCTGTTTTAATTGCACAGCTGACCTCTAGTGGTGAAGCATAATCTTTTTTTTTTTTTTTAAAAGAACTAAAATTAAATTTTATAAATAATACCATTTCATATAAATTATAATTATAATCACCACCGCCTCTTCTGACTTACAGACTAAAGAACTTATCTCTGATGCTGATTTGGGCTTTGGCTACGGTGAGAACATGCTAGTTTTTGTGTGTGTGTTCATTCTTTTAATTTGGTTCATCTGGCTAGTTTGTTTGGGACCAAAAAAATATATTTAATATTTAGGGTGTGTTGATAGGTTTGGTTTGAGTCACCCTTAAATGCATAAATGTCAATATAGGCTCATTCTGAAAACGTAGCCGTACATATGTTTCTGGAGATGACGAATTATGTAGCCAGAGCTACGTATGGCTGAATTTCATTTTTAAAATGAATGCTACAGGGTGGTATGAGGCCGTTTCTTTTTATGCTTACCAGTTGCTTAACTCCGTATGGACGGCTTTCGCGCTGTTACCAGTTTTTCCCATGAGCTCGCCATGTACGTTGGCAGAATTGAGACGCAGAGAGGAGTTGACCATGACGACGGGGAAAGAATGGGTGAGAATGAGGTAAAATCTGAAAACGTGGTAAAAATCAGGAGAGGGGTTTTCTTTTCCTGTATTGCTTTTGAAAACTGTTGCTTGGGTTTAGGAAAATGGGTGGGCAGGTCAATCAATACTATTGGTTGGGTTTAGGGAAGGAGGAAGTCAATCGGTCAATCGGTCAGTCATTTAGTCTGTCAAACAGTCAGTCGACAGCGGCCTCTGGTGGGTTTACGCAAGAACAGCGGGCGAGAGAAATTTGAGATCTCAAAAAAGCATACACTGCGGCCGCTGGTGTATTCGCGAAAACAAAAACTACAAAAAAATATAGCTCCTGGGATGCATTTGGCAGTCTTGAGAAATGTGTATACATTTTCAAAATGAGCCTGGGTTGATAAATGTTCTGTCAACCATTATTGCATAATCAGGTCTTTTGCAACCCGAACCTTAATCAAAACATAGATGAATATTTAACTGCTGCAATGGCATAGGACTCTACTGATAAATAGAATAATAATGCAAAACTTGTGGGATTTGAGGATGAAATCAGATTTTAATATCACTGTTATCTGTATGATCATTCAATATATATTCAAAATTAATATTTTGATTACTGATAGCTTATTTACCAGATCCACCATCCATTGCCAGTGACACTTATAATTGACTATAAACTATTCTGTAGTTTTAAGCCATTATACACGTTACTAATTATACTTTTTTGGTTTAACTGAAAAACAAGAATGAGGTGAAAAGTAATGTGAGTGATGTGCCTGGTTGCTAGAGACCAAAAGTATGCATTTAAGGGTTAAAATGAACTCTGGTGCGATTGGTTTGTTAGTGTGGTTCATTTAAAAAAGTGTATCAATCTGAAGTTTCTATCCCTAGATCACACTAAACAAGTGGACCGAGACCGCTGATAAGCAATTCTGTTGCATACTGAAATCAAAAAGCAGCTTGGTCCAAAGACATCTAAGGGAACCAAATTAGGACATGATGTTCCAAAAATGGCTGGAATACTTAAGAATTTCTTCATTCTTTCCTCATCGTAGTTTTGATGTTGCCCATTCTATGTTAATATACAGTACAGTACATGACAGAAAAATGTCTTTTTTAAAAAAAGACAAACAAACCACGACTAAAAATGTCATTTCATACCAAGAAAACTGAAACTACAAGTATAAACACAGCCATAGCGTGAGTTCACTTAGTGCTCACAGCCATTTTTCAGAATGAATCTTAAAGATACAAATCTGCTTTTATTTATCTTTCATCAGACCCACCAATTAAGATTTGCTAAAAAAGTCATTTATGACACTTGAATTCAACCTTTATGGACAGTATGAAAAGTTTGCAATAAAAAATCAGATATGCTTGAGCAGACTGGTAATCTTATTTTTGAATCTTTTTACTTCATGTCCTGTTTTTGGTCTGTTGAGATGTGTTTGTACCATGCTGCTTTCATATTTCAGCAAAACCGTGTTCATTTGAATGTGGTTCAGATGGCAGTGTTCACACTTACTGCATTTATTGCATTAACAAAGCAATTGCACCCCATCAGGCATGTTGATGTCAAAACGACATTAAAAACACATAAAAAATGCAAATTGATTGTTTGTCAATCGACTACCTTGATATCAAAATGACATCAAATTGAAATCAAGTTCACATGCATTGTAGGGATGTGAATTTTGTCATTTGTAATTAAGGCTTTTGGATTAATAAAATGTTTGTTATATTATAATTAGGACACAATATTGAAAAAATCTGACATTGCAATATTTTATCTTTCTGCAATATATATAGAGTTGAAGCCAGAGTTATTACCCCCCCCCTGAATTATTAGTCCCCCTGTTTATTTATTTTTTTTAATTTCTGCTAAATGGAGAGAAGATTTTTATAACACATTTCTAAACATAATAGTTTTAATTACTCATTTCAAGTGAAAAAATCAGAAAACAATTTGCTTAAAGGGGTTAATAATGTTGACCCTAAAACGTTTTTTAAAAAATTAAAAACTGCTTTTATTCTAGCCCAAATGAAACAAATAAGACTTACTCCAGTGAAAAAAAATTATCAGACATACTGTGAAAGTTTTCTTGTTCTGTTAAACATCATTTGGGAAATATTTAACGAAGAAAACAATTCAAAGAGGGGCTAATAATTCTGACTTCAACTGTATATTGAGATGTGAATACTATTTCAGCTCTACAGTATTTGGAATGAAATCATTAATTTAGATTGACTAAAATAGTCTTGGAGTAAATAAAGCAAAATGCAAACATAAATAAATAAAATAGAGCAAAGATAAAAGTGAAATAAGTAGTGCTTTATGGTTTTTTGAAGAGTGAGCGGTCAGATATTCAGTATAGCGATTGATTAATCAATAAAACGCTGTACAGTCTTCATTGCTTATCAGCTATCATCCCAATTCAACTTTGCAGACATGGCGATGCGACAGTTGTGGAATGCACACATTGCAATATCGATGTTGTAATGATATATTGTGCAGCCCTAATTATAATCCTTGTTGTGTTGTCATTTTGGTGGTCAAAAGAGCATCACAAGCGGTTTATCGATTTGGATTTTGACATGTTTTTAATGTAATGCTTGACATCCATTTGATGTCAAAATCAAAATGCCGACTAAAACCAGAGAACATTTTAATCAAACCAAACCTGCCGTTTTTAAACATACCCTCATAGGACTGTGACAAGGCGGCAGAGTGCTGGTGGGTGAAGACGCCGATTCTAGTTTCTAATGCTTTCCAGAACCTCGGCTCCACAGGTGGAGGATCTTCAGTAGCTCTCACTTCCCGCTTTTAACGCACTTCAAAGCTCTGGTTAGGCCTGCAGCGGCAGGGGGGCACCAGGGATCCCTAAAAACCCACCACCTTAAAGGCCTGTTTAGAAGGCCATCCCTGCTGAGAGCCCCCGGTTCCCCATCTAAAAAAATTACAGTCCTGTTTTACAAGAAGACCAGGAGGGAGGAGGATAAATCTCTCTGGTCCTGGAGGCAGGTTTAATGAGCACAGGCACACCATCAGCTCTCCTTGCTTGCTCTATCTAGGGGTCACGTACACCGCATTTTGCTCATTTTCAAACACGTGTTTAAAGATAAAAATATCTAGATTTGGGAAAATATTTTTTGAAGCAAAATAAAACTTTTTTTTGTGTGCATGTAACTGGATGCAAACCAAAAACATAAAAAATAAAGGAAAAGTAAATCAGAGGACTATAGCTCTAATACATCATATGAGTGACTGATAAATTAAAAACATGCACAATCTGTTAGTTAGAAGAGCTTGGCTTTCTTCTTCATGTCGTTGCGCTTCCAAAGAGGAAGTCTGTCAAATTCGTGGATCTCCATCCCAAAAATGTCAAAGAACGTGTCGGGAGCCAAGTGGCGCTGGAAATAAACGAAGGGAGAAAAAAAATGATTGGATAATTTGAAATCATTAGGTATGTGTTTAGCTAAAGGAAACCTGATAATATGTATTATTATTCTTAATACTTTCTTATGCTGAATACTATTTATTAATGCTTATTATATACTCTAATAATAATAATAAGTATTAATTTTATTATTATTATTATTACAAAGTGAATTGTAATATTACAATTGTATTGATTGTCACATATGTATTTATCTAAGAAGGAAATCCGATAATATATTATTCTTATTATTCTTATTATTCTTCTTCTTATTATTTTTTCTTAATTGTTATATACATTATATTTTTACAAATTAAAAGTAGTAATATTACAAAAGTATTGATTTGTTTAATATAATTGAGATAATGAATTGTGCAATAATAAATAACATTAAATAATTATTAAAATAATAATTAGTGCATTATTTGTATTATTATTATAGTTACTTAAATTTTACATTTATATTTGCTTTATTATTAAGTAAATATTAAGTAGTAATATTATGTATAATAATAAGTATTATTATTTTTATTAATATAAATAATTAAAAATATTCTCTAGATGTCGTTGCGCATCCAAAGAGAAAGTCTGTCAAATTCATGGATCTCCATCCCAAAAATGTCAAAGAACGTGTCGGGAGCCAAGTGAAAAAAAAGTGATAATTTGACATGTCACGTATGTGTTTAGATAAGAAGGAAATCCAATAATATATATTATTATTATTAATAATAATTGTTATATACTGTTAATAATAATAAGTATCAATTTTATTATTGTTACAAATTAAAAGTTGGAATATGGTATACAATAGTATTGATTTGTTTAAAATTATTGAGATAATAAATTTTGCTATAATAAATAACAGAAATAATATAAATTTAAGTAATTAGTGTATTATTCGTATTATTATTATTATTATTATTATTATTATTATTATTATTATTAATATTATAGCTACCTAAATTTAAAACTATTTATATTTTATTTATTATTAAGTAAATATGTAGTATTATTAGGTATAATAGTAATAATAATAATAATAATAATAATAATAATTCATATTATTAATATAATTAATAATTAAAAATATTTCCAGGATTTTACTTTTCAGCTTGCAAAATTAAATGTTGATATAAATTGCCAAAAAACAAACGAAAAAACAACAACAACAACAACAACAACAACAACAACAACAACAACAACAACAACACAAAATACACATTGACTCATTTCATTGGTCATAGAGTTCCATACAGTAAAGCTGTTAGGTGTTATTTACCTCCAGTCTCGTCCTGTCCACATCCTTCGGGAGCTTAGTACGCCCTCTGTTGGCGACAGTGAGCATTTCATATGGGTACACCTTTACAAAAGGAGGGATTGTGTTGTTATGGAGAATGCTATGCGAGGCATTTGCCAAACACAATGTATTGCTGAATGCAAATGGATGAGGGAATAATGCACGGTCATTACATTCTAACACGGCACACAAACATCAACTCTTGCCATCGCCAAGCACGCGGCGCACGTGAGAGGGTGAGTATGCAGAGGAAGGGCAGAGCATGCAGTGAAACACAGGGAAAAGGGTCTTGTGTGTGAGAGAGTGTGAGCAGGTATTTCCATAGCAGAAAGTCTGTGTTTCTTGAGGAAAGAAAGAAAGAAAGAAGTGCTGGATATGGGTAATAAAGTGCTTTAAGTGATTAGGTTTAGCATAGAAGATAACTAATTATTATACCATAGTTTCCCATTCGTTTCTATAAGGATATAAAAGAAAAATATGAGTTCCCCAAAAAAGTAATTTCATAGCTATATAAATCATATGAATAAAATACATCTGATTTTTTTTTTTTTTTTTTTGGTCTCATTGGGGGCCCATTTTTTATTATTAATTTATAATGCTACACTTTATACAGTACTTGTAATTGATAATGTTTCTTAATATTATTGTCAATATTGAAAGCATGTTGTGCGTTTTTATACAGTTCTTTTTAGGATACCTTTTAGTATTTGAACAATTTTGCAATTCATTTACAACTGTTAGATCAGCTAAAATGACTGATGGCAGATTTTTCTTTTAACCTTGTTTGATTGAGTGAGCCTTATTATAGTAAAATCCTATGAGAATGCATTTGTATTTTATTTGAAAAAAACTCTAAAGCAATCTTTGCTACTGAAATTTTTATTAATTAAATAACAATGCAATAAAATACATGCACCGGCCACTTTATTAGGTTCACCTGCTTGCTAATGCAAATTTCTAACCAGCCAATCACATGGCAGCAACTCAATGCATTTAGGCATGTAGACATGGTCAAGATGATCTGCTACAGGTCAAACAGAGTATCAGAATGGAGAAGAAAGAGGATTAAAGTGACTTTGAACGTGGCACGTTTGTTTGTGCCAAACAGGCTGGTCTGAGTATTTCATAAACTGCTGATCTACTGGTATGTTCACGCACAACCATCTCTAGGGTTTACAGAGAATGGTCTGAAAAAGAGAAAAAAAAATCCAGTGAGCGGCAGTTCTGTGGGTGCAAATGCCAGTTCAGAGGAGAATGGCCAGACTGGTTCCAGCTGATAGAAAGGCAACAGTAACTCAAATAACCACTCGTTACAACCGAGGTTTGCAGAAGAGCATCTCTGAATGCACAACACGTCCAACCTTGAGGCATATGGGCTACAGCAGCAGAAGACCACACCAGATGCCACTCCTGTCAGCTAAAAACAGGAAACTGAGGTTACAGTTCACACCAAAATTGGACAATAGAAAATTGGAAAAATGTTGCTTGGTCTGATGAGTCTCAGTTTCTAATGCAACATTTGGATGATAGGGTCAGAATTTGACGTCAACAACATAAAAGAATAGATCCATCCTGCCTTGTATCAATGGTTCAGGCTGGTGGTGGTGTAATGTTGTGGGGGATGTTTTCTTGGCACGCTTTGGGCCCATTAATACTAATTGAGCATTGTGTCATCGACACAACCTACCTGAGCATTCTTGCTAACCATGTCCATCCCTTTATGACCACAGTGTACCCATGTTGTGATGGCTACTTCCAGCATTATAACGCACCATATCATAAAGCGTGAAGCATCTCTGACTGGTTTCTTGAACATGACAATGAGTTCACTGTACTCAAATGGCCTCCACAGTCACCAGATCTCATTCCAATAGAGCACTTTTGAGATGTGGTGGAACTGAAGATTCGCATTATGGATGTGCATCCGACATATCTGCAGCAACTGCGTGATGCTATCATGTCAATATAGACTAAAATCTTTGAGGAATATTTCCAGTACCTTGTTGAATCTATGCCATGAAGGATAAAGGCAGATCTGAAGGCAAAAGGGAGTCCAACCCAGTACTAGTAAGGTGTACCTAATAAAGTGGCCGGTGAGAAATATTTTTAATAATTATTTTCTGTTTATTTTTTTTTTAAGAATGGGTAACTATGGTTGTGCCAGCAGTATTAGAAAGAAATTATAGTGCTTTTAATGCTAACACTACTACAATTACCAGTCCACAGTCATGCCAGTTACGGTTGCCTACAATGCTGGGAAAACCTATTAAGTTCTAATCTATGCAATCTTGCCAATAACTATTATCCAGAGCTGGCGCATTAAGCCAGCCCTAAAAGAATCAGGGTAACTACAGCAACAAAATATTACCATATGAAACCATAAAGCCTCTTTAACAAGAACCAGGAGTTTAAAAAAATCAATATGGTGATCTTGAAACGGTGTGAAATGCCACATGAATAATCATATGCATATTCTCATAGCACTAGAAAATATCCTAGTAATGCTAGTCCGCTGACCATGGCCTTTAAAGATGAGCCAAAAGTACAGTCCTGACTTATGAATAATCTTGGTTTTTGGGAGGGTATGGTGATTATTTATTGCACACGTAGGAGCAATTAGAGATGGAAGAGAGAAAAGAAATATAATTATTTTGAAAATATTTAGGATACTTGCTTTATATTCCAACATATTAGGCATAGACATTCCCCTGTCCATTCTTGTAATGGAATCTTGGGCATCTTGGGTGGGCTACAGAACAGAACACATACAGCGTGATGCCAACGATAAGAAAAGAAAGCAGAAAGTGTTTTCAAGAAACTTAGGAAATAGTCTGGATCTGATTCCTAACAGCCATTGCTCTGTATTAAGTTCTCTGGAGGGAAGTGAACGTCAAATGATCCATGTGATGTGCTCATACGGGTCGAAAGTTTTCTTTAAGGTATTTACTGTATTTAATGTTTCAAACCCTTGACTGTGCTCTTGTCTTTCCCCATGGCTCAAACTCAGACACAAGCATAGCAATGAGGGCATGAGTGCCATTCCGGTTACATGTAGCATGATTTTGACTTCATATGTGCATGACTGCTGATGCACATGCTTAGTAGCTAATGCAGCTCAGTCACATACCTTGAAATCTGTATAGATCAGAAAGAGATAGAATGTTATTAAAGTACTGTAATTGCTTCCTTTTTAGGTATTAGATGCAGTCACTGTATTAGAAGCACTGGAATTTACCTCTTTGTCCTCCACAAACGTCCCCATAACTGTTGTATTGAGAGAGTTCTGTAGATTGGGGCTAGAAGCAAAGACATGAAAAATATAAAAAAAAAACATTTTTTAATAACTATTATCAAGAATTGACATGAACATTTTTGTTCAAAGTTCCAAAGTTACTTTATCAAAGTGTTTTCATTGGGCACAGTTTTGTTGTTTGAACATTTTATGTTATTAAATTTAAAATTAAGTAAATTAAAGTTGCATACAAAAATGCACTTAAATGTATTTCATATATTATGGGCAGGGCCAGACGGAATCTGCGGACGTTTTTTGCTATTTCTGCAGATAATTTTGGTAAAAATCTACGGATTTCTGCGGAATTATTTTGGGAGTATCCAGCGGAGTATCATAACTATAACCTTAACATATGAAATAAAAAGTAATAAATTACTGAAAAAAAATGAATAAATTAAGATTTACACATTTACTCAAGTAAATAAACAGAATTAATGATGGGCTAAAAATCTACAGAAATCTGCGGAAAATCTGCGGAATTCTCTGCGCGCAGATTCCGTATGGGCCTAATTAGGGGGCATTTTTCATAACCTTATTTAATATCATTTTCATAGAGAATTAAGACATTATAGGGTTGTTACCAATCAAATGAAATCAGTAAATAATAGCTGCTAAAGTGACATTTTTCAGTGGATGTTTAATGATGTTCAAAAATAGAATGCAAGCATTTGAAAAATGACAAACTCATTATGAGCTTAGTATTTAACTTTATTTAATTGTACAAAATATGGATTATGTGGCAGCTTATCCATGTATATTAATTGAAGCATTCAGTAAAATTATTTATTAGTTTAACAATTTATTTTAATGATTTATTTAGAAAGAAAGCTGGTAACTTTATGAATTGTTTACTGATGATTTGTTCAAAAACAGGCTTTTTTTCTGGACTGAAACACCACAATGTTGCTCTGAGGCAAATACTTATTCTTCATTCAGACAGAACTGCAGCTACTTGTGGGTAAGTCTGAATCCAACTAATTATTTTGGAATTAATAATGGAGCTTTATGATCTTGGTGAATAGACTGAAAACTGTCAGCACTTTTGTTAGCCATTTAACATTAACTTATTGTTTAAACACAATGTCAAATAAAATCAATGTTAATTTTGTAAACTTATTGACACAAGTGAACAAAAAACAACAACAATCTGGTCACACCAATTTGCTTAAACAATATAAGTTTTAAACTTAGGAAACTTTTTTTGTTGCTGTGTTTGTTCGTTGAGTTTGTGTGTGAAGCTCTTTGGGTTTGTGTGCTCATTTGTTTTTTGTTTTTCCATTAGACTCTAAACTGAAAAAAAAAAGATTCTTCTTGGGTCTTCCTTAGATTAATAGTTTATGCTTATGCTGAGTGCTATTATAGAAAATTCAACCTGGCTTGTGATACTCACTATGCTATAAACTACGAATCCACAGACAATTGGTGAGTTGAATGGTCTTAATGTCAACCCCTGCCTGTAATATCTGAATTAAAATATGCAACTATATACAGTTGAAGTCAAAATTATTAGCCCCCCTTTGAATTTTTTTTCCTTTTTAAAAAATTTCCCAAATGATGTTTAACAGAGCGAGAAAATTTTAAGGTAAAAATGATTAGCCCCTTTAAGCTATATTTTTTTTCAATAGTCTGCAGAACAAACCATCATTATACAATAACTTGCCTAATTACCCTAACCTGCCTAGTTAACCTAAATAACCTAGTTAAGCCTTTTAATGTCACTTTAAGCTGAATACTAGTATCTTGAAAAATATCAAGTCAAATATTATTTACTGTTATCATGACAAAGATAAAATCAATCAGTTATTAGAAATGAGTTATTAAAACTATTATGTTTAGAAATGTGTTGGAAAAAAATCTTCTCTCCGTTAAACAGAAATTGGGGAAAAAGTAAACGGGGCTAATAATTCAGGGGGGCTGATAATTATGACCTCAACTATATCTATTATTTTTCTACAATTTCATTATTTTACAATTTCATTTGTGCAACACACAGTATATGTACTTCTGAAAGGCTAAAACTTACCCGATGGAGGCCATTGCGTCCATACCCAGGCAGAGATGAAGTTTTAACGGTTTGAGAGTCTATAGCAAAGGACAGAATACTTTTATATACTCATGTACTTATACCAGAGTAAAAACAGTAATTAAATAAATAAATATATAATAAATAAATTAACAATAATAAAAAAGATATATGCTTTGCTTGTTTTATATGTATGTGGCATAATACCTGTGGTGCAGTTAGCATACTGGGAATCAAATCGCTGGGCAGCCACACTTCGTACATATCTCTCTCTGTTCATCTCCTTTTCCATCTCCTCTTTCAGAATAAGCTTCCCAAGTCCAGACTGGATCTGCAGATAAACACAGTTTGAGTTTTGAGTGTTGAGTTAGACGTTTATTGAGAGATTATGTAAAATGATATATTCAATTAAAAATAGTATTCTAATAATTTCACAGATGTTTTATGTGCCTTAAAACCCCCAAATCTAGTTAGCCAGGAGTTACATTGTTGTGAAAATTAAATAAAACAATGTGTATAGTGTGTGTAAATAGCATAACATATACTGTAAAAAAATCTTGCTGCACCTTTTTTTAGTTGAATCAAATGAACTTTTCTTGTCATCTTACATTACAGTAAATCAATCAAACTGACTAAAATGTTAAATTAAACTATGTATAACTTATATAATTTAGAATAATGGGGCGAGGCAGTGGCGCAGTAGGTAGTGCTGTCGCCTCACAGCAAGAAGGTCGCTGGGTCGAACCTCGGCTCAGTTGGCGTTTCTGTGTGGAGTTTGCATGTTCTCCCTGCCTTCACGTGAGTTTCCTCCGGGTGCTCCGGTTTCCCCCACAGTCCAAAGACATGTGGTATAGGTGAATTGGGTAGGCTAAATTAACCGTAGTGTATGAGTGTGTGTGTGTGTGAATGTGAGTGTGGATGTTTCCCAGAGATGGGTTGCGGCTGGAAGGGCATCCACTGCGTAAAAACTAGCTGGATAAGTTGGTGGTTCATTCCGCTGTGGCGACCCCGGATTAATAAAGGGACTAAGCCGACAAAAAAGTGAATGAATGAATGAATTTAGAATAATTCAGTAGTTTGGAAGATATATGCATTTAATTTGCTGCTTTGACAAAAAAAGACAAAAGCATGAAAGCATTAACACACTCTTGACCTTGCTGAGGTGTTCTTCCTGAAGGTGTCTGCGTTTCAGTTGCTCTTCCTCCTCTTCATCCCGTGATCGACTCCTTCCATCTGAACCTGATTAGAATAAAAAAATGGAGACCAGAAAAAGTGAAAGAGAAGAAATGTATATGTTTGCCATGTCATCACCATGTTTTTGTATCCATGCTAACCTGCAACAGAATCTCATGGAAAACTAGTAATGGAACAAAAATGACACAAGCAAAAAATAATAATATATAAACAAATAATATATAATAAATGACAAGAAAACATGATCAGATTGAATGGAGTAATGATTCCTGATTGGAAATATATTTGATTTATCTGCGTTGGCAAATATTTGTGTCTGGAGAGACGTAGCGTTTCTGAGACACAGCTGGATCTAGGAGCAGACAGTCAGAAATAACAAGCCAAATCTTCCAGCAGCAATTCAAGATTTATCAATCCAAACTGTTTTGTGAGCTTCATTAAATTCAAATAAAAGGCTTCCTTGAATATTGGATTTTATATGTACTGTTTGGCCCGGCAGAGCCCACAGCGGAACTGTACCTAAAGCAGCGAGGGACGGAGGGCACGGCCAGTAGTCTGTCTCGATCTTTGCGGTTTCTTCTGGTCGAGGAGCATGAGCGGCAGGGAACTTGGAGGATTTGATGATGTCATCAGCGGACTTGCTTTGGGCTGCCAGGGCAGCTGAATCTGAATCGGTATTATGGAGGAACTAGACTATGAGTGATGGGCTCTCATAGATTGATAGTAAGAACAGTATGGTCCAATTAGTTCAAAGCATGACGTTTTAGAATTTCAATATTTTTAAAAAAATTGCTGAATGTTTGTGCATTTGTAAAATATTCTTGATATCCATGTTCTATATACAGTCAATCCCAAATCATTCATACCCCTGTCTAATTCTGACTTATAGTTTTTGTTCAAATGTAAATATAAGCTGAGAAATATTTTTCTTCCACAATGATGCCTCTTGTACATCATTTTATTATCTTTTGGGAGAAGACAGTATCATTTCTGGTCTAAAATAATAATAACTTGCTGGTTGAATAAAAGTAACTTTAAGTCAGAACTTGCCAGGGGCATGAATAATCTTAGGCTTGACTGTATGCACTTTAACTTTATTAATTTACTGCTTTGAATGTCAATGGACAGTACTGCATTTGATACAGAACATGCTACTGTTTGCAAGTTTTTTTAATTATAAAAAGCAAGCAGAAAATGTAGATATATACTATATATAAAATAAACATAAAGTGTATTTTAGAAAAGACTTGACAGTTAAAAAGTGCTGTTCAGTTTATTGAAAGTAACCTGATGTGTAGATTGACAGAGAACGGAGTATGCAAAACTGAGACCAAAGCAGAGTCATGTGAATTGTCAGTGAAGCTGCTATGGGATCTGGCAAGTTAGAACTCCATGCAATTAGACTGCAGAATCAAAGCTTGATGGCCATTGTTAAAGAGATTTAGTTTGTTGTTGGCGAATCAATCGTGAGAAAACGATAAAAAAAGAAAGATTCTCAAATGAGAAAAGCTTATGTCAAATGGTACTTACATGTCAACATGGGTTGTGATCATAGCATCATAATCACAAATTAATGGATGGATGGAGTCAACACACATGAATAAATAAAAAATAAAAAAAATAGTCAGGAGTCATGCTTGCACACACACCATGATAGTCACCAAAAAACTTTTTTTGGGTGTGTAAATTAAAATGTTTTATGAAGATAGATAGATAGATAGATAGACAGACAGACAGACAGACAGACAGACAGACAGACAGACAGACAGATAGACAGATAGATAGATAGATAGATAGATAGATAGATAGATAGATAGATAGATAGATAGATAGATAGATAGATAGATAGATAGATAGATAGATAGATAGATAGATAGATAGATAGATAGATAGAAGGGTACGCAAGCTGTCACTGGGGTGGTACTTTAAGAGGAACACTTTTGTACTTTTCTCAGTGGCTTAGGTGAATTTTTTACAACACTATTTAGATTTGCATCACAGTTTATGCATTTCTCAAAACAATTAGTGCAAAAGCACGTCACTTGCTCAAAATGGATAGTTCATTCCTTAAAAGCAAGTATTGATGTCAATGATACACTATATACTATTTGCACAGCCATTTGAAAACTACAGTAAAGTTAGACATCACTGCATTTAGTGAGGTATCTGAGTACAAGACAGTAAATATGTTTCACATTTTTACTGCATTTGCTCTTTGCAATTCTAATTTATTCACAGCATTGTGCAAATTAATAAATACAGCCTTATTTACAACAAGCATTCACTTCCTTTGGATAGAGCTGTGCACAACTGTAAACAACATTGCAGACCATATTGGAACTGAACCTACAACATACACAGGTCTGTAAATCATTCATGAAATTGATAATTTTAGAAGACATTTTCAGGAAAAAAGGTGTACATTTTTTAATAAAATGAATAATAAAATTAGCTTGACATATTTTGACAACTAGTTCAACATTTTTGTATGTAATGAAATGATAAAGTAATGAAATGAGGACTATTACTTTTATATGGAATGACTATTTAGCATTCACAAGTTTAGTTAATTTTGACTGACATGACATAAGCTAATGATAATGTTATAAAACATCAGAGAGTTGTATGAAAGTCATTGATGCATTTCCAAAAGCATTTACAATTTGTTGGACGGAATGAGAAACTGCTACTATGATGTGCACAAATGACTAATTGTTTTGAGAAATGCATTAACTGTTGTGCAAATGTAAATAGTGCTGTGAGAAATGCACCAAAGCCACTGAGAAAAACTGTAATATGAACCTTTTAGGTACAAATGTGTACATTTTGATAAGGTATTACCCCAGTGACAGCTCACGTACCTTTATTTCTGAGAGTGTAGAGAGAATAGTAAGACAGACAGACAGACAGACAGACAGACAGACAGATGATAGATAGATAGATAGATAGATAGATAGATAGATAGATAGATAGATAGATAGATAGATAGATAGATAGATAGATAGATAGATAGATAGATAGATAGATAGATAGATAGATAGATAGATAGATTAAAAGCATAAAACTTGAAGCATCCATACCATGCTGTTTGTAGATTGGTGGTTTTCTATACATGTTAATGCCTTGGTCTGCGAATTAGAGAATAAAGATCTATTTTAATAATACATTTTAATGCAGTCTCAGTTACAAATAAGATTTTCCAATTAACCAGTTCCAATCATGATTTGCGGAAAAGCAATACATATATTTTGTCTGAAGTGTCTGAATAACAAGTATTCGTCATAAAAAAAAAGATCAGAATCTACTAAAAGAAAACAATAATTAAGAAAATGCATAGATGCATTATGGTGAAAGCCAAAGAAAGATGGAAATTAAAGAATGGAGAAAGACACTATAGAGAACAACAGGCAGATGATGCTCCAGCTCCTACCTGGGATGTGGAAATGTTTAGGGGTCAGAGAGAGGGTCGGGGTGGCCGGCCGAGAGGAAAGGGGAGAACTCCGGCCACTGGATGGCTCAGTGCCTCCAAACAAGAAGAGCAGAATAAGCAGGAGAAAGAAAGAAAACAAAATAGAAAGAAAAAACAAAAGAAGGAAAGAAAGAGAGAATAATGACGGAATAAATCTTCACTGACGGAAAGATGGATGAACAGAAAAGGGCTTTACAGAGAGGTGAAAGAGACGGATTGAATCATGTGGGTCGACACCACCAAAGAGAACAAATGTTGAAGGAAAGACGGATCGGAAAGAGTCTCAGGAAAGCAGCATGCAAATACTTCATAATCATTCACCACAAGAGCCAGAAGACACTTAATACTCACATTGTTAGGAAGCTTTTTTGTTTAAAGGTGCAGTATGTAAGTTTGACACCCAGTGGTTGAATTAGATATTACATTCCTGGATCAAAACAAACGCATGCGCAGGGTGCCAGATTGAAGAGAATCAGACTGTCGATAGTCTGACTATCGAGCCTAAAGGCTGATTTAAGCCATGTTCTAACTAAAAGCAAAGGCAGGCGATAGAAGGAATATTCTTCATATTAAAAGGAGTTTTTGTTCTTACCAACACCTCAAATTATTATATTAGAAACAACTTCTATTTCTTGCAGCTGAACAACAAAAAAACTGACAATAGTCACCTCAGGTACACCTCATGTGCTTTTGTCAGTGTTAAATGCTAATAATGTGAGTTTAAATGCCATTTTACATGACATTTATTGCCAATTCTACTGAAAGCAGCAGCAGATAGTTCACCTCAGATCTTGAAATTAAAATAAACCACTTGAAATTGAACTGTAGAACTGTGACTCAGTGCAAACCAACACATATCAGTGATTCAGAGTGTAAATTATTATAATAATGTAAAGAGGTTTAATATGTATTATTATATTATAAACCTTACCACTTTGTGAGTGAGTGCATATACTGTGCTTCTGAATGGCTGTATTTAAATTTCTGTGGTGTTCATCTGGTGCCAAATTGCTCATCACTGCAAATCTCATCACATTGTGATGTTGTTGTTAGGTCACAAGGTTACAATGTAATCTGCTCACCTAATGTTTATACTCGTATAATTTATATTATTGCTAATTAATAACCTCTTGTGGATCTCTGAGTCTGCGTCTCATTTCGGAGTCTACTACTGTCCACCGGAGGTCGCATTTTGGTCACGGATGTATGTTTTGAGAGCTTTTCTGAACGAATGAATGAAATACAGGGTTTTCCAACAAGGCAACCCGGGGTGTTGAAATATAATTGGCTAAAGTAACATTGGGCAGGTTAAAAGAATAAATAAAAAGACAGATGTTCTGGCACCAAAGGCCCATTCTCAAAGCAGAATATCTGACTTTACCATTGTTTTTCAGATAAACAAGAATGTTCATTTGGCATGTTTCTTAAATATCTGCAAACATATTATGGTATTTTTATGCTTTAGAAGAGTAAAAAAACTTACATACAGCACCTTTAATTATATGACTGAATATCCATAGGGTTAGTTTGTGCTTTTGAGACAAATGGAATATAACTTAAACATTTTCCAAAACCTAGTGGAAAAAATAAAAAATCCCACAACACATGGGAAGTACTGTAGCTCAATTATTCCAAAAGGTTGATTTAAAAATGCTTTTAATAAACATTTTTTTGTGCATTGTAGCTTTTCCTCATTAGATTGTTTACAGTACTAGAAATAATACTAATATTATCACTATTATTCATAATAGCAAACTGCCTAACTGTAATGCAATTATGTCATGTAGACATCCTAATTACAGGTTTACACCGTCTTTTAAAGGTCCAATAAAATGTTTTTTTTTTTTTTAATTTAGATGTTAGTTTCAGTCTGTAATTTTTAAGAATATCTATAATCTAGTGTGCTCCAAAGCAGTGACAAAATTTGCATTTAGAAAAAATAAAACTGATAAAAAAATTAAAGCTTGTAGTTTGTTGCTTCTGCCCAGTTTTTCATCCAATCTTGACCAATTAAATGCTCTCTGGTATCTGAAATGCCCCGCACCCTTCAAGATGCTTGTTATTTGCTTTTCAATTCATGCACTTGAGCTCAGACACTTTCGCTGGAAGAGCTGTGATAAAAATAAAACACAGTTAGGTGTTTTTTTTTTAAAGGTGGAGGAACTACTCAGCCAGCCATATCACCCTGCAGCCCAAGACCACTTACTTACTGAAGCTTAGCAGGGCTGAGCCTGGTCAGTACCTGAATGGGTGACCACATGGGAAAACTAGGTTGCTGTTGGAAGTGGTGTTAGTGGGGTCAGCAGGGAGCACTTAACCTGCAGTCCTAATGCCCCAGTATAGTGAAGGGGACACCATACTATCAGTGGGTGCTGTCTTTCAGATAAGACATTAAATTGAGGCCCTGACTCTCTGGGGTGATTAAAAACCCCATGGCACTTCTTGTAAGAAGAAGAGGTTTAACTCTACTTGGCCAAATTCCTTTTATTGGATATTACCAATTATGGCCTACCAATCATAACCATCCACCAAATTGGGTCTATTGCTGTCTCTCCACTCCATCTATAGCTGGTGTGTGGTGAGCGCACTGGCGCTGTTGTTCTGTGGCTGTCGTTGCTTCATCTAAGTGGATGCTACACACTGGTGATGATGATGTGGAGAGACCCCCTCATGATTGTGAAGTGCTTTGGGTGTATGGCCAATAAATGCGCTATATAAATACAAACATTACATTACATTATGTCCTGCCCTCTCTTCTTTTTTTAGTTGAGATTACGTCAGACATTGAATAAAAAAAATGCACATTTCAATGCACTTAATGCAACCTTTAAGTTCATTTCGAAAAGTCAGTTTCAGTTAGAATGCCTAAAGTATGTAGGCCCTAAACAGTAATATCAGTCACTAGGTTTTGGAACAAAGTTATTAGTATGACAGTATTAGTGATGTTGCTTAATCAACTTTAAGGTGGTCCAAATTCTAAAAGAAAAGAAATGAATAGAAAATGAAAAACAGGGTCAGCATGCTTTAGAATTGCCAAGGGCACCAAATTGCTTTACACACTCTACAACAGCCATGAAGCCAAGACATACCTATGCAGAAAGAATCTGTGGAGAAGACAGAGGGACATTACACATATAAGCATGTGATTAGTTAACTGTGCATTGGCAACTTGCATTACATTTGCTTCAGTTGCATCTACAGGTCAAACGCAGCCCCTTGACCTCATAAGGGTGCGAGTCAAACAGGCCAGGGCTGTGAATTTCCCAAACAGAGACACCAAAAGCACAAGAGTCACATTTTAGCAGGCCTGAATCAGAGGAAGGAGGTGGATTTGTGTCTATGGGACGATATTGACATTGAAAATGAGGCGAAGAGGTCAGGCAACAGGGGTGGAGAGGCCTTACCTTTGTTATGGGGAAGGAAGTGATGTCGAAAGGGGGAGGTAGGGCGCGTGTCACTGTTGCTGGAGCGCAAAGAGGAGCAGAGCTTCAGCATTCCTGCCGGCCGCTCAGAGGAGAGGAGGGCGACAGAGGAAAACAGAGGATGGAAGAAGGAGCACATATGAGCAGAAGAGGGAGGAAACAAGCTCAGGAGGAAACGGAAAGGCAATGCGAGGCCAAGTGCATGAAACGAGGAGATCTCGCTCATTCTCTGCTGGAATCCTATGAGGGAAAGATTTAAATAATTGTACTGTATTGGACTCACCTGGTCTGTGGAAGTGCTGGGGTGACTTGGATAGAGGTGGTATGTAGTTATGGCGGTGATAGACTGGAGAGCCAATGGAGCCCTGGCTGGTGGATCTTTGTATTATTCGCTCCCTCATGTCATAGCAACCCTGTCGCGTCCATACATAAAGTAGCAATGTTTTAAAAAAAACATTATACTGCATTATCATATTATTCATATGGGCTTTTCACATTTAAAATATTTAACCCCTTTATGCATTTATCCCCTGGATATTTTAATTGTTTTTACTTTTTTATTCATGGTTACTTTTTTCTCTGTGTCTATGTTATTGTTATTGTTGGACACTTATACGTGAACTTGTTTGGATATTAAAAAAATCTAATAAATAAAGTTATAAGAAATAGTTAACCCTGGGTCATTCTAAACTGGACTAAACTATTTTGCCTCACAGTTCACATTGCTTATCATAATTTACTACGGGGTTAACTAGGAATCCTGCATATTCACAATTAACAGAGTTCAACAACATTGTCGTGACTAGGATGGAGGCCAGCTACTGTAGTAAGAGCTATGCAGGTAAACCTCACTCCACCAGCCTTAACACACTAGTGACTAACAAATTCAGAGTCCTTCAGGTGTATTTCTAGCTACTGACACTAGAGGTCTTCAGTGTCCTGGTTAGCGAGCCTCCGTGAGTTCAAGTTTGGAGAGGAACGAGTAGAGCTGGCGGTGTTACAGACGTGGATAAGATTGAATTTAAAAGACGCCAGCTAATAAGAGTTATGCTGATAAACTGCCTGGCCTTAAAAGGTGCATTAGAGGCTGTTGTCTTTAGCATTTCATAATGCATGTTTGGCAACACAGCTTGGTTAACAGCTCAAAAACAGCTCTTCATAAACCTGAAATAAATAATAACTTAGCTCCTAATTTCATGCATTTTCACCTGTCCAAGGAAACAACACTAAACTACCTGACAAAAGTCTTGTTGTCTCGTCGATCCCACTTGTAAGAGCAACAAATAATAAATTGACTTCTAGTTGATCATTAAAAAAAGTGGCAGATGGTCAATTTTTCCACTGAATCATCTGTTGAACTGCATCCCAATCATCATGAACACTGCAGAAGACCTATTGGAATCCACATGAACTCACAGATTCTCACAGAAATCAGTTTGGTGAAGGTAAAAATCATGGTTTGGGGTTACATTCGTAGTGGGGGTGTGTGAGAGATCTGCAGAGTGGATGGCAGCATCAACAGCCTGGGGTATCAAGACATTTGTGGTGCCCATTAAATTACAAACCACAGGAGAGAGCAAAATTCTACAGCAGGATAGCGCTCCTTCTCATTCTACAGCCTCCACATCAAAGTTCCTGAAAGCAAGTGAAGGTCAAGGTGCTTTAGGATTTTCTAGCCCAGTAACCAGACATGAACATTATTGAGCATGTCTGGGGTAAGATGAAGGAGGAGGCATTGAAGATGAATCCAAAGAATCTTGATGAACTCTGGGAGTCCTGCAAGAAGGCTTTCTTTGCCACTCTAGATGGCTTTATTAATAAGTTATTTGAGTCATTGCTGAGATGTATGGATGCAGTCGTCCTAGCTCATGGGAGTCGTACACAATATTAATTGGTTTTCCACTGCACCATGACTTTATATTATATCCTCTACATTATTTCTGTTAAGTGACAAGACTTTTGTCTAAGCAAAGACATACCTTACTGTCCTAATTAATTAATTAAAAATCAAAGCATGATCGTATTTTATTTTGGTAAAATAAGCGTAATCTAAAGGCATTTTCCTTTCATATAAGCCACTTCTGATACCAATTGATCAACTAGAAGTCAAGCTATTATTTGTAGTTCCTAAAACTTGGATAGGTGACAAGACTTTTGTCAGGTAGTGTAGGTGCAAACATTGCCTAAAATGTTTTGAGGTTGTCCACTTTTTGATTAGTGAAGTCCTATACCATTTACTGACCGCTATCAAGAAGGTTATGTAGAGCCTGAAGAAGGCTCTTAACAAAATCCCAACACAACAAGTTACAAGAGACATATCTAAATGCATGTTAATACCAAGTGCAAACGGTCTAAAAGTATGAAACGCTGCTTTAATAATGGTTAAAAGTGATGTTTAGAATAAAAATATCTTGGGGTTAAGTGCAATGTGAAAAGCCCTTAAATGTGTTTTACATTAACTACTGCCTCTATTGCGATAAAAATAACCAAACATTATAAACAGCTTCTAACCTCAGCAGATGGGGTGGGAGACAGTGTCCTTGGAGACTAAAACAGAACAGAAACAAGAGCTCTATGTAAGTACAATCATTAAAATTAGCACTAAAAGAGAACAAATGAAACTATACTAGATAGAGCAGATCAGAAATGCAAAATATGTGAGCATTCATGAGCAAATAGTCACTTATATATAAGATTTCTTCAACATTATTTTAGACATAGAAGTTTTTATAACTAAATTCTAATAACAGTTTCTTTTATATTTGCCATAATGACAGTTCATAACATTTTAGTTATTTTGCAAGACTCTAGTATTCAGCTTAAGTGAAATTCAAAGACATAAATAGGTTAGTATGCCTATTAGGCAGGTTAGGATAGTTAGGCAAGTTACTGGATAACTGATTTGTTCTTAAAATAATTCTGGATAAAATATAATGAACTGCTATGATTCAAGCCAAACTAAAAGGACAAGAATTTCCCCAATAGAAAAATTTTATAGGAACTACTTTGAAAATGTCCTTGCTCTGTTAAATATATCATGGCAAATATTAAAAACAAAAAACACCAAAAGGACAAATAATTTTTACGGCAAATAGTGTGCATCCATACATACATTAAATCAAATCTATCCATCTTTTTAATGCATTCTTGCTGCTAAATAGAATTACTTTCTTGAAAAATAAAAACCCTTTACTTACAAAACACCCCAAAACAAAACCTTACTATGCTTGTTTAAAAAAATAGATATTATTCTTATTTTTGCAACCCAGGCTCATTATTGTTACATACCCCTACATACTTCTCTGGAGATCACGAGATATGCCCCAGCAGGTACTTTTTTTCTGCAGTTTTTGTTTTCATGAATCCACAGAGAACGCTGTGTACGCTTTTTCATATATCAAATTACTCTTGCGAGTGCCATTGCCATAAATCCACCAGAGACCCCTGTCGTCTGACTAACTAACTGACTGACCGACCGATAACCCCCCACCCCGACTCCACCCTCTTCCTTAAACCCAACCAATAGTATTTTTTAAAAACACCAATTGGCCCGCCCCCACCTTCCATAATTCCAACCGACAGTGTTTTTAAAAGCAACCCAGAAAAGGAAAAGCCCTCACAGCCGCCTGATTTTTACCAAATTTTCAGATCTTACTACGTTCTCACCCTGTTATTTACTTGTTTGTTTTTTGCCTTTTGTTTTTGTTTTACCTGCTGTCTAGAACAGTTTTTTTTACCAAACTCGAACACTGTCATTGCTGTCAACTTCTCTCTGCATTTTAAGTCCACTGACGTACATGGCGAGCTACTGAGCAAACTGGTAACAGCGAAAAGCTGTTCACACAAAGGTAAATGGTCAGCTAGTAGCATGAAAAGGAACAGAAGCCATCAGCGCCATCATACCACCCTGTAATTTTTGTTTAAAAAAAGAAATGCAGCCATATGTAGCTCTGGCTACATAATTCACACTCTCCAGAAATGTATACAGAGGTATGTTTTCACAATAAGCCTTGGTTTTATTTTTTCTTTTGATTTTGACATTTCTTTGTGAGATTAACCCAGCTGTAGCATAGACAATGACAGTCAGACAAGCATAAGCAAACACACTAAAAAAAAAAGGACATTGTTTGCCCCATGCAGTCCTCTAGACGAGACAGCTGAAGCTCAGTGTCATCTCCACCGTAAGCACATTTAAAAGAGAGAAAAGCACATCCACAGCCCACAATCTGACAGTGGGTCCAAAAGGAGGTCGCTGACAACTTACTGTTTCTGCTGACAATGAGGAGGGGTCTTGTGGCAGGGTCTGGGAACGTGGACACAGAATTAAAATCACTAAAAATAACGTATTATATCATACGTCATGGAAACAGCTGCGTTTTCTGAGACCCAGCATGCATTTATTAATAAATGAATGCGATGAAGGTGGAGGAGAAATTGAAGCGCTTGCAGTGTTTGTTTTGAACATTAGATGCTAATGCCTTCATTGATACTTGACACGGTTAAACTAAAAACAACAACTTGAGAATCATTGCTTTAGAGATGCTTCAGTATCCTGCTGGCTTCTTGAGAAACTACTTAAAGTGATTACTTAGAGAGCAGCTATTCAGTCAGATGAGAGTATTCATGGTTGGCAGATGAGAGAAACTTGGTGTGAGAGGCATTAGATGATAAGCGGTTTTAAAAATGAAGATGTTAGTTGTGCTCTTATTAGTTTGGGCTGGTGATCCACAAACTAATCTGCTTTATTTGTCTCTAGCTTTCACTTACTGTGGCTCTGCCTCTGGTAGGACTGCCACCTGAGGCTCTGACAGGCTGTAGGGGAGGAAACGGGTTGAGTTTGGTTACTCTTTAGAGTTTTTCAGTGACTCACGCTATCAGGGGCTTTTTCTAGGTTTTGATTACCACAGATAATAATTTTGTTATCAGAATCACACTTTTTTTGGAAGTCTAAGTGGCTAGTTGGTGCAGTACAAAGTAAAATATACTTCTATGCTGTTTTTGAAGTATAAAGCAACTTACTGGCATCAAATAGATTGGTTAATTACTTTTTTTGTGCAGTTGTATGTGCTATATATTACTTTTATATAAACCCGATATCATGACCAGCTAAATATTCAACCTGGATACTTTTTGTTTTGTGTTCCAAGTGAAATCATTCAAACAAGATAAATGAAGTAGAAGTTAAATACATTTTATACTTGCTTTATTATTTCAAGTAAAAGAAAAAAAAAGTCTAGAAAATATATATTTTTCAGGTGTTTACGGTCAATTATTTTCAGATCTTTAGGGTAAATTTTTTGTGACTTTTAATTTTATTTAGTTTAATATAAACAAATATAAAGCTAAATATAAACAAACAATAATAAGTCAAGATATTGCACATAGGCACGTTCTATTCGACTGTATAAGGGTCAATAATTTTAGTTTCTTTTCTTTCTTTCTTTCTTTCTTTCTTTCTTTTTTCTTTCTTTCTTTATTTCTTTCTTTCTTAAAAAAACCTTTTAAGCAAGGATGCTTCAACTGATCAATAGGGAAACTTTTCAAAGTTAAAATAAAATTATGAATTAGGCAGTAGATTCTTTTCAAGATTTTTTTTTCTCAATAAATAATGTGCATAATCCCCACTGAGATTGTTCTTTTTGAAAATGCTAATTTTGCAAATGACACGTTTAGCTCAGATCTTGAATATAAAATAAACCGTTTGAAACTGAACTGTAGAACTGTGAAATAATGCAAACAAACACATATCAGTGATTCAGCGTGTACATTTAATAGTGTTAAAAAGGTTTAATATGTATTAATTAGATTATAAACCTTACCATTTTGTGAGTCAGTGCATATTTTGAATGGCTTTATTTAAATTTCTGTCATGTTATGTCTGGTGCAAACAGCCAAATTGCTTATCATTGCAAATCTCGTCACATAGTGTGTTGTTAGGACACAGGCTTACAATGTAACCTGATCACCTAATGTTTACGTTTGTAATATTTATATTTTTGCCAAATTAATAACCACCTCATGTGAACTCTGAATTGGCATCTCATTTTGGTGTCTGCTACTGCCCACCTGAGGTTGCATTTCGGTCATAAGCGCATGCTTTGAGAACTTTTCTGACTGAATAAACAAAATACGCGGTTTTCCAACAAGGCAACCCGGGGTGCTGAAAACAAAGACAGCGTTATGGAAGGCCCTTTTTCAAAGCTGAATTTCTGACTTCAGCATTGTTTTTTTATTAAAATTATTTTATAAATTAATTTAATTTATATCAATTTATAAAGAAGTAAATCTCTGCAAACATATTAGAAGAGTCAAAAACTTACATACAGCTCCTTTAAACATTTTCAGTGTGAATAAACAACTTTTCAAAATTGCCTGGAAATACTACAATGAGTTCACAAGAAGTCTACTGTCAGTGCTTTGTTGTAGCTAGAAGGCCATCTGCCACATAAAATGTGCCAAAGTAATTGGCGGTTCATTCCGCTGTGTTGACACCTGATTTTCTGATCAAGGACAAGTCAAAATTGTTGTCTGTGGTAATCAACCAAAATGTCCCTTTAAATTATCCATTTAAATGTGCATTTAATCATTGCAGACTGTGGTAGATGTTGTTTATGGGCAGCAGGGGGCGCTGTGACACTGCTGTCTCTACACAGAGAAGGCGCACAGACATATTCAGGTATAATAGAGCAGAGTTTAATTGACAACGGGAACCCAAAAGCAGTAACAGACAATTAAAAAACAGACAAAAAAAAAAAAAAAAAAAAACCAACAACACTTTTTTCATGCATAGACATACAGCTAACATGTTGACAGGAATACATGCAATATACACATAATGACATACAGAGAAATGTGCACAAACACACACTTGCTCACATCTGCTCTGTCTGGGGCCCGAGAGACTCAACCAATAGTGTTTTTAGGAACATCAATGGGGTCAGTATAGGATAGGGATGATTATAATGGTGGAGAAGGTGGTGGTGGAGTTGTCTGGTAGTGGCCGAAAACACTCAGAATTGGTGATGAAGACTAAAACAGTGGTTCTCAACAAGGGCCCAGAACATTAAAAACCTTAAAATGTCCAAATATGTCACAAGATGACATTAAAACATTTAAGAATAGAAAAAAATATGATTAATGTTTGAATAAATATAACTAAATTATAACATTAATTCAAGATTTTAAAAAAAAAATACTCAGTTGTTATTATGCTTTTTGAAGAATGTATATGCTTGGAATAAAGATTTAAATTTGGGGTTCACATATAAATTTTTTAAGGTATTTAACCATAAATTGGATGAACTAAATTGGCCATGGGGTGACATTGTGGCTCAGTGGGTAGCACTGTTGCAAGAAGGTCGTTGCTTCGAGTTTCGACTGGGTCAGTTGGCATCTCTGTGGAGTTTGCATGTTCTCCTCGTGTTCGCGTGGGTTTCCTCTGGGTGCACCGGTTTACCCCACAGTCCAAAGATATGCGCTATAGGTGTATAAGCTAAATTGGCTGTATATGTGCGAATGCAAGAGTGTATGGGTGTTTCCTAGTGCTGGGTTGCGGCTGGAAGAGTATTCGCTGCATAAAACATATGCCAAAATAATTGATAGTTCATTTCCCTGTGACAACCCCTGATAAATAAGAGACTAAGCTGTAAAAACGATTGAATGAATGACTATTTAATCATGTTAATTCATTACATAGTTCAGTAAGATTTAATCTGAAAACATTAACATCATCTTTCAGTATTTCCTAATAAATAATTAAACAGAGATTATTCTGTATTTGTTATGCACTTTATGCAACTAACACGAACAAAGATATTTTTGTAAACAAATGAAACATTACTGTAAAGTTTTACCAAAACATTAATAAATGTATTTTTTAAAACAATTAGCTTTGTCATAAACAAATAAAAACTTAATTACCATACCGACTGAGATTGCTTGAGTCATCTTGTGACATCATGACCAGTTTTTGGTTGATTTAAATGTTTTTTGGTAAGTGCTGTGGTAATATTTCAGTTTATCATTTCTTCAGTTTCAGGCCACCTGTTTAGTGCACACCTAGGTTGGATGCCAGATTTCAGGCTTATTTAATTGAAATGCAGTATTAGAGTATTTGCAAATGCATACTTTTTTTATCTAACCAGTGTAAACACAGCCTTATTTTGTATCAAAGATACATTTGAAAGTGTTAAAAAGGTTCAGAACCACTAGACTAGACAGTCTGCATCTCCAAACTGAAAGACATGGATGTCTAATTTATTAAGGATGTCTGATTTGAGGTAAAATGGCTCAAGTTTATTATTTAAAAAAATAAAATAAAATTAATCTGAAGTTCAAAAATTAAAGCAATAAATATTTATAAACATATAGAGTCTATATCTATCATGTTAGGTCTTAATAGCACATTGATTGTTTATTAGAAAGACACTAAACTCATTTTACCTCTCCAGGGCTGTGCCTTCCTTGTCTTTCCAGGGTGGAGGAGGTGGAATGGAGAGACTCATAGGATATCATGTCTGGACGCTCTATGTCATAAATGGCCTTGACTCTGGGAATGGCTGCTAGGTCCTTGTAATCAATAATCTCATTGTCTACTTTTGCCTGGAGTAAGGAGAGGATGAGGGGACGAGGGGCAGGGGACACATAAGAGGAGAAACACAGGGAGAAAAGGTGTTGATGAGGAAGAGGTCAGGGAACAGGTCAGAGGATATCCACGTTACATCTGACTAGGGTTGTCAAAAGTATTTTGATACAAAATGATACTGAAATATTTGAAACGAAACAATATCTCTTTTCCACAGGATCAATACCTGCCACGCTCACTCTTCAATAGTGAGTTCACCCACAGTCTACCGCCACAGTTTCACTTTGTTTATTTACAGTATTAACAAACTTTTTGAATTTGATTTACAATTGATACTTCTACTCAATTTGCATTTCAGGATTTATCAGTTTAACAATAAATCACAAGTCACCGGAGGGAATATAATATTCATGCGTTGTTTGTGCGTCTCTAATAACGCACGCAAATGTGGAGTTCTCTGTAAAATTTTGTGCGCTTTAAAGTATTTGCTAAATTTATGTCAAATTTCATAAAAAGTACCAGTCTTTAAAGCCTGCTCTCACAAGGAATTGTAACCTTTTTTACGTTTTGTCAGTTTAGTTGCTAATTCGTATGTATTTGTATGTGTTCAGTCTTTTTGGCATGGCACCACATTCCACCCCAACCGTCATTGGGGATAAGCAACCCACATAGCAAAATTTCTCTGGCCCAGCTCTGGCCCACACAATCAGGTTTTGCTTGGCCCACATGCCGCAGTGAATTGCGGTACATGACTGGACCAAATCTGGCTTCCAGACAAGGGCCAAACACAGACCATATCTCGGCCAAGTCTCAGCCAAGTTAATAACTCATAACTGGGTCTGAACTGGGTCAGATAGGTTGGTGTGTCACGATTGCAATGAAATTGATAAACCCATAGAGTGATGCTCTTTAGGCACACTATGGGCACGCTTTTTCTCAAAGTGACCTGATTGGTAGAATTTTTTTTCTTTACTCAAAAATGATTTTAGTGTATTTTAAATGTGGGTCAAAACTGGCCAAACTCACATGGCCTACTTATCAATCTGGGCCAAATACTACGTTTTTCATCTGGCCCAAATCTTGTGTGCCGCCTTAAAAACGGTGCCACCTCTGCCAAACTCGGGCCATGTTTGGCCCACACGCTGTATGCCAGTGCCGGATGAATGCCTGCTGTGCCAGCTTTATGCCAAATCTGGGCCAGAATTCTTTGCTACTAGGGAAATCATATTTAATTGTACGAATGAGAGGATAAGAATTTCTACAAATAAGCCACCAAATCAAAAAGTTATGAATTGCCATGAGATTGTTGGTCTTTAAGACACAAAACCCATCTATTATACGTCTCTAAAGTGAAAGTACTTCAGTAGCGCAGTCAGTAACATTCATCAATAACAATAGACTAAGCCCCTCTGGTGTATATATTTTTGTTACTTACTCCCAGGGCCATTTATATTGAAGTTGATATTTAGCCCCACCATATTGGTGTTTCATAACATCTAGTTTTTATGTGGTGGGTTGTTAGCCCAACACTCAACCTCCAACCTGGACATACACACATACACACTGGACAACTTAGCATACCCAATTAACCTACAGCTCATACCTTTGGACTGTGGGGGAAACTGAAGCACCCGGAGGAAACCCATGTGAACACATGGAGAACATGCAAACTCTACACAGAAATGCCTACTGACCCAGCTGGAGCTTGAACCAGTGACCTTTTTGCTTTGAGGCGACAATGATAGCCACTGCACCACTGTGTTGCCTGTATATATTGTTGTTATTGGTTAAAATTTGCTTACTTTTAATTATTATCTTTAGTAATGTTTTAACTATATAAGTTTGGCTAGCAGTTTCTTCTTGAATACCAAAATTGGTATTTAACAAAAGCTAAATTTATTAGTATGTTACATGGATAAAATCGATAAAAATAAGAAATATTTTTATTTTTGCGGCAATTCGTAACTTTTTTATTTAGTGGCTAATTCAGATTCATTTGTAAGATTTAATTCAACTCGTACAATTGTACAATTTAGTACAATTTGCTCATCCCCCAATGAGAGGTCGGGTTAGGGGTGGGAGTTGTGCATTTTCATACAAATTAAATCATATGACTTGCTACAATCAGCCAATTTTTCAACAATTTTGCTCATGAGATCGGGCTGGTTAGACCAGTAAAATGTTTGGAGGGGAAGCGAAAATGTGAACAATAGTCCAGGCAAATAATAATGAAGACAGGCATAAATATTGTAATTTTAATTATTGCTGTGGCAATATTTATCTGTGGTATTGAAAATGGTATTGAGTATCATATTGTGTCATAGAAATTCCAGTATCGGACACTACATCCATCCAGAGCTACAGCTCTCACAGGGTCATCACACAAAGGTTGTTTGGAGGCATATTTATGAGAAAAGCTACCATCTTGCTACCATGTGACATTCTGTGCTGTTGTCGAAGATTCTCTATATATTTGTTTACATGCTGAAATTATGTCAAATACAAGGCAAAAAGTGGAAAAATGTTGAAAGGAACTCCTGTGCTTTTCCTGCATATCCTGGAGTTTTTTTTACACATTGACCCTGAAGTAAACCAGCTTCAGAATCCATTGTGGATCGAGTGGTAAGATCTGACAGACTCTGGAAACGATTGAGGGCGTTGGTGACTGGGACTCACATAGATGGTGTGACCTGGAGATCCAGGGATGCTGGAACCAGGTCTCGAACAGATGCTCTCAGACGAAGACCTCGTGGGCTGCGGGAGAACAAGATGTTGTGTTAGTAATTATATAAGCATACATACTCATTCAATACTCCCCTAGATGCCAATGGGTAGCTTGAAACGTTTGATTAGCTATAAGTGAGAATTTTGTCATCAGTTACTCAACCTCATGTCATTCAGCTAGCTTAACACACAACCCTGTTACCCGTAACAAGTAGCATAAAAACAATTACCAAGTATTTTTTCTATTTCTTTATTTTTTTGTTCAATCATTCATTTATTCATTCAATCATTTATTTTTTTATTTATTTATTTGTTCACTTAAATATTTATTTATTAAATAATATTAGCTGTTCCAAATTACAGCAGTTTTGCAAAAACACATAAAACTGAACCAAATATAAAATTAGTTTTTACTGTATGTAAACTGTTACCATAATAATGATCAAAAAACTGTTTTTCTTTATTATTAATATTTAAATTACTGTGAGATTTTCTTTTTGTTAAAATAACACTAACCCTTTAATCATATTGAAAAGCGCATTTTTAAAACAAATAAATTAGATTTAAAATTATATAAAATGTAGATCATTTTATTAATAATAATTAGATTAGATTAGATTAGATTAAACTTTATTATCATTACACATGTACAAGTACAAGGCAACGAAATGCAGTTCATGTCTAACCAGGAGTGCAAGTGCAGGATATGATTATAAGTTAATTAACAATCAGAGGTATGCAGAGATATGAACATAATTACAAATGTACAGTTAAAGTCAGAATTATTAGCTGTCCTTTAATTTTTTTATTTTTTAAATATTTCCCAAATGATGTTTAACAGAGCAAGGAAATTTTCACAGTATGTCTGATAATATTTTTTCTTCTGGAAAAAAGTCTTATTTGTTTTATTTTGGATAAAATAAAAGCAGTTTTGAATTTTTTAAACCACTTTAAGAACAAAATTATTAGCCCCTTTAAGCTATTTTTTCCCGATAGTCTATAGAACAAACCATCATCATACAATATCTTGCCTAATTACCCTAACCTGCCTAGTTAACCTAATTAACTTAGTTAAGCCTTTAAATGGCACTTTAAGATGAATAGAAGTGTCTTGAAACATATCTATTCATCATATCTATTCCATCAACATGTCATCATGGCAAAGATAAATTTCATCAGTTATTAGAAATGAGTTATTAAAACTATTATGTTTAGAAAAGTGTTGAAAAAGTCTTCTTTCCATTAAACATAAATTGAGGAAAAAAAATTAACAGGGTGGCTAATATTAGCTATCAAGGGGCTAATAATTCTGACTTCAACTGTATATGTGCTGTGCGTATGTACAATTCAAGATGAATTAATGTAACGAAGTGAAATGAATATGTACAATTTTAATTGCAAATATTAAATAGTGCAGTGTTTATGGGAAGAATAATTGTAAAATAATAATTTAGTGTTCATGGGGGGGGGGGGGGGGGGGGGGGCATAATTGTGAAATAATTAAGACATATTAAAATGATTATGCAAGTTATTATGTGTTATTGTGTTTTTGACCTACTTCATTTGGACACTAATTATCATCTTTGGTTTACAATAAAAGTTAGTCCACAGATCAAAATAATCATACTTTTTGCAAGATTGATGAAATATTTTATATAATAAAAAAGTACTTTAAGGTCAAATGTCAAACAAACAATCATGGAAGTGCACACTCTTGAAATCGCCTCTAAATTAACATAAAATCTAGTCAGTGCTTGATAAAATAAAAAATAAAATAAAATAAAATAAATTAAATTTTAAAACTAAAATATATTTTTTAAATTCAGTAAATACAAAATTAGCCAATTTATTACATCCAAACTCAACCAATTGTTTGTTCAAATTGATTTTAAATGAGCTGCAACACAATTATTCAGTTTTTTTAACAACTTAATTGATGTTTGATCCACTTAAATCTGTAAGAACTAATGAGTCAACTTAATTCTTTCATGTTGTCCCAACACAAATCGATTGTGTGGAACTTTCAACTTTTCAACTTTCAGCGTTTTAAGTTCAACATTCACACCTATAATGGAGTAACTGAGAACAAAAAATAATTTCTGAGGCGAAGTTGGCACGTTCCTAAGCTTTCATTCAGTAAAAATGAGAAAACCACTGGACTTCCAGCTCATATAATATTCCAGTGCAAGCCTGCCCAAGATGCATTCTGTCTCACATCAACGCAGCCAGTGAAAGCTAATTTCTCAGATATGACACTCCTCCAAATGTCACCAAAAATGCAGCAACTGTTCAATCTTGAATATAAATTAAGTTATACATGGTGAGCTCATATCTGAGAGCGCTCTGCATGAAGAGTCAAACAAGTCCTGTAATGGTGAATGGAGCGCTGGAGGGCTCGAGCCACATGCGTGAAAAGCGTAATGATTCACACACAGGCTGTTATGGGCTACCTTGGCCACAATAGGTTGGGTGACTGGCAGTGCAAGAGCCGCAAAACATACTCGGGTTGCCCCAACTCTGCTGCCAGAAGCAGAATACAGTACCTGCCTTTCTGATTGGTGCAGAGAAGTTACTGAGGGCGGCAGGGGCTGTAAAGGGAGGAAGAGGCATCACAGGATATGACATCACACTTTGAACAGAACACTTTAATCATCCTCTGTCAGCGCTCATTTAAATGAAGCACTATTTTCCATTGTCATATATTCACAGCCTTGCTTGCTATCCTGTGCATGCGGGCAGATTCTGATTTGGGGTTTGGTGGGACATGAGGTTATTTTTGTGTGTGTGTTTAGAATGCTAATTTGCAAGATTGAAGGGCAAGCATATTTGTGTTGTGTTCACGTGCTGGTTTACTCTTGCTGAGGAGGATGTGGCTACTGGTCAAAGTTTTAATGTCTCATTACAAGTCTTGTAAAGTCACCAAAACTACAGTAATAAAAACAGTGATATGGTGAAATTATTTTAATATATTTTAGTTTCTTTTTCTTTCTCTTTATTAGTAATAGTATATTATAATAACTTTATTCAGTTTCACTTGACTCCCTGTAGGGGGGAAACATATAAATCTAACTTACGATTCTTATGTACAATACAGAAAAAAGTAATTAGAATGGAGCATATACAAATCCTTTATTTCCTAAAATTGAAGATACTTAAGTTTAATGATTTGGTTCAATTTAAAACAGCACAATTTATGTTTAAAACTAGGAATAAATTACTTCTAAACTGCATACAAAAGTTCTTTGAAGAAAGACAAGGGGGATATTATCTGAAAGAAGAACAAAATCTTAGGAGATTGAAAACAAGGACATTATGGAACAGTCTGGAACCACTCGCCTCGAATGTTATCACTTGATTGAATGGATGGATGTTGTCAGTGGTTATCAGCTGATAGATATGAACCAGTAGGAGCCTTCTGCTCCTTAACGTGGGCCCAGAAGACATTATTATCCATCCACATGGTTAATCAGCTATATTAATAGAGAAGACTCCATATCCAGATCTGTTTTTACATTACTGTGACTGTTGGGTTTAGGGTTGGGGTAGGGGAAGACATAAAAATAATAAATTACAATTAATGGGAAATTTAACAAATAATATAAATAATTCTTCTCCAGCTGTAGCCGTATGTGATCTACAGCTGATTAACCATGAATGGAATGGATGATAATAGCCTTCTGAACCTACCAGTAGGTACCGGACCATATCTATCAGCTGATAACCACTGATAACATCCATTCAATCAAGTGATAACATTCGAGGCGGGTGGTTCCAGAATGTTCTATAATGTCCTTGTTTTCAATCTCCTTAGATTTTGTTCTTCTTTCAGATAATATCCCCCTTGTCTTTCTTCAAAGAACTTTTGTATGCAGTTTAGAAGTAATTTATTCCTAGCTTTAAACATAAAGTGTGCAGTTTTAAATTTTTACAAAATCATTAAACTTAAGTATCTTCAATTTAGAAAATAAAGGATTTGTATATGCTCCATTCTAATTACTTTTTTCTGTATTGTACATAAGAATCGTAAGTTAGATTTATATGTTTCCCCCCTACAGGGAGTCACGTGAAACTGAATATAGGTATTATAATATACTATTACTAATAAGGATAAAGAAAAAGAAACTAAAATATATTAAAATGATTTCAACATATCACTGTATAACTGTCTTGAGTGAGAACACTCGAATCGGCTGCTGGAACAGATTCTCAAACAATGTCAGGATATTAATCAATTAAAAAAGTTGTATAAATTTATAATAATAAATTATTGCTATTATTATTATTATTATTATTATATCTGCCAACACTGTTTTTCCCGGGAGTCTCCGGTATTTCATACCACACTCCCGTTTTGGTCTGTCTCACAGAATTTTAGTTATCATAAGTTATCATAAGACAAATTAATGTCAAATAATTATGTTTCTAAACAATAAGACAATATATTAATAGCTTATTTAATCAAAATAAAATCTAAAATAACAATCTATTTTTTTCTCTACAATTACAAAATCAGCAGCTTTGAACAAAAACTTGATAGTCCTCATAAGAAAAATGATAAAGCTTATTTTCTTAATTTATGGAAAATGTAAATATTTGAATAATAAAAAAGGGTTTCAAAATCCAGAATAAAACTAAAATAAATGTAATTTTAAAATATATAAAAAGTAAAACATGTACATTAAATAAATTTTACAATGTTACTGTTTTTATTTATTCCTTATCTAATAATAAAACTTTGGTGAGCACAAGACACTCTTCATTGTTGGAAACTTTTAACCAGTGATGTAAGTTAACCAATGTGAAGCTAGAAAAAACCACACAGCAAACTACTCTTGCTTTAGGGTAAAGCAGGAAAATTGAAGGGAGTTGAGTTAGCCGGAAGCTTAGCAGTTTGGAGGGAGTGCAGAGCAGAAGACTGCCAACCTCACGCCTGCCCAGGGGATGCCGGCCCGGCCCAGAGCCACCTGGGCCCTGGCTCTGAATCTGAGACTGAGGGTAAAAGATATCAAACGGACTGGCTTTTCCTTTAGGACGCTGCCAAGCTGCCTAAGGAGGAGAATCACAACAGAATGGAGAAAATACTACAGACAAACACACACATGCACTCTCTTCTCTCGCTTCAGCTGCTGCACCTGAGACTTAAAGGCTCCCTGAAGTGCTCTCAAAACAGCAGCTTTGTTCAAAGTGTGTGTGTGTCATAATTACAGCTGAAACAGGAAGACAGGGCGGGTTATATATCCTTAGTAGCTCCTCCCCTTTTAAAAAATGGCCAATAGCATGTTGTCATTGACCTAAAGTGCATTTGGCACAGTCTATAATAGCGATGCTGAGCCAGGCCCAGTCCACACGAACACGGGTATTTTCAAACATTTTAAAAATAATTTTTTTTCTATGTGGTTTGCATGTTTATTTACATCAGGTGACGGAAGCCAAAACTTTCTGAAAACTCTAGCCAGGGTGAAGATATTACAAAATTACAGTGTGGTCATGTGGCCACTACAACTGGAGTTTTTGCCTCATGATATCAGCGTGCGCGCTGTTTTCTACTTTCTGATTGACCAGCATGGCCAAGCGCCAAGCGCAGACGACGCGATTGAGCCAATATCTGCACCTTTGTGGCAAAAACATTGAATTCTGCATCATTTGCCCCTTGGGACAGTAATGTTTGCCGCCTCTGTTCCCACATTTGCATTGACTTGTATGCAATGTACATGTACTTGCACAAATACTTAATTCCATGTTTGCTGTGAACCCTTAACATGCATCACAGTGTGTTCATGTGAACAGAGATTATTTTAAAAATGATGGTGGGGAAAACTTTTCATAAAAATACTCGCCTCAGTCTAACTGTTTCTCTGTTTAAAAACACAGTACTCAGTATATAAAATATGGGTCCAATGCGTTTTGGGGTCTACACCGCTGTGGCAATTTGTATATGCAAAACCAGACTTCATACACTCCAATGGAGAGCTAATTTAAGCTGAATCCTTTATCCTTTAGCCTATATGATGTCACATTCGCCCTAAATAGAAAATTGTAATTGTGTGTAACAGGTTTAGAATGTCCTGCTGTTGTTGCCTGTATTCTGACCCTGAATGCAATGCATTTTCCCCATCGGGTCTTGCAGTAGATACACATTCGGAAATAAAGGTACAAAATCTGTCACTTGGGTACACAAAAAGTATGTGGCGCGGTACGGTACGGTATGCTTTTATGTCCGTTTTCACTGTCAAAAGGTATCAAAAATCAAACTGTACCTTACCACTTTTTTTGGGTACCCGTTTGACCAGTTTCCACTGAGTGGTGTGGTATGGTTCAGTACGCTTTTATGGCCGTTTCCACTGTCAAAAAGTATCAAAAATCAAACCGTACCATACCACTTCTTTGGGTACCCTTTTGACCTGTTTCCACTGAGTGGTATGGTATGGTACGGTTTGGTACGCTTTTATGGCCGTTTCCACCGTCAAAACGTACCAAAAAGCAAACCGTACCATACTACTTTTTGGGTACCGTTTGCATGACAAAAGGGTACCCAAAGGCGAAGCCAGACATGCAGCTAAACGTTATTGATTTACAGAAAAATGTCACTAGCGCGTACACAAACGAACAATGAAAACAAAGAAACCACTATTTTTAGATACACAGTTGTACATATGATAACGAGCCATGGTTGACCCGAGCTCAAACAAACCTAGTCATTGTCTTGATGAACAGCCACAAAGCTAAGAAGAACACAGTCTGCCGTGTCCTGTTTTTGTTTTACGAGGCCGTCTAAAAGTGCGATCGATTTCACTTTAAACTTCTTAAGCTGATGATAATAACATGTGCGTGATAATTGAAGTGCTTCTGACATCCGCTTTCTTTAGAAACAGATAAACAACACAAGTGCAGTGCGAAAAAACAAAGGAGCAAATTATTCTTTTAGCAACCTAAAACATGAACAAACGGCCATTTTTAACTATCATCATCACCTGTTGGACTATTATGGACTTGGAATAACGGAATTACTCTCTAACATAGGTTACATGAGCTGGTGAAGAATAAAGATACAGATGAGAGGTTTGCACTGACTGTGGGCTATATTTTGTGTTGTTTTTGAACTCAAATAAGGCTTAAATGTATGCTGTGTGTAGTTTTTTCTGTAATTGGTAACATATCGGAGACTGTGAGGGTCTGTATGTGTTCATATACTGTATATTGCATTTATTTATTTATATAATTGCAGACGTTACAGTAGGTAGATTACATAATTGATCTGCAGTTATAATCAAATAATTTTCATAGAAAGGTTAGTAATGAACATTTATACACAAGTATTTATGTGTATAAAGCATCTGTTTTGTGTCAAGTGTTTGTCATGTGGTATGTGAACTACCCATACAGCTTTACTCGAGCGAGAATGACGCCAACTGAAACTTTCTGTCATACATCACGGCCACCAAAAGGGTACCATTGGCAGTGGAAACGCAAGCCTGATAAAGGTGACCCATACCAACCCATATTGTACGGTACCACTCAGTGAAAAACGGGCAATTAAGGTATTATTTTGTACCTTTAAGGATATGTTAAGAACAGAAATATACCTTTTAAAAAGGTACCACCTCAGTGACAGATTTTCTACCTTTATTTCTGAGAGTGTAGAAGTGAGTGTATACTGTATGGATAGAGAATTTCATCATTGCAGACAAATTAATCACAAAATACTGAAAACTGCTCATTTATAGCTATGTTTCAGATACGGGAGATACAAGAGAGAGCATCTATTATAAGCTGAAGTGTGCTGTGATGTCATTGTCATAGAAAATTGTTGATTCTTATTGGCAAAAGTGAGAAAATGTGCATTCTGAATGCTTTTATCTTCTCAATGTGATTTTTGTCATTGTTTTGGAGCACATTTTCATGTACAGTAGAGGAACTTTCATTTCAGGGCACTTTCATTTTAACTTTAGAGTCACTGGGGAAGGTTTTGAAAAGCACTTTAAAGAACGTGAACCATTGAAACATCTCCCAGGATTTCATGAACTGTTGTTTCAGGGATGTAGATGTTGTTTTTGGGAACAATATGAGGGTGGAGCTGTGCAAAATTGCTCTTCCAGAAAGAGACGGCGCTGATGATGAAGTGGCTGTCAGAAAGTGTTTAGATGTGTAGTGTTTAGATACTGTAGATACTCACTCTGTACTTCTCTTCCACTCTACTGTTGTTCTTACAGTCTGGATGCCATACTGTTGAACCTGAGAGAAAGAGAGAGAGAAAACTATGCTTAACATTCCAGCAATGTACCTTTCTTAATTAAAATAAACTGTTAAATGAAATAAAATGAAATAAAATGTAATTAATTTTGACTTTCATATTAAATTTGATACTTAGAAAAATATATAATAGAACTTAGAAAATGTATACTTAGAAAAAAATAATATAATATAAATATATAATATAAATATAAATGTCTTCCTTTAACTTGTGTGAGACATGTATTTACTAGTATCAGGGCCAAAGCTGGGGGTTCTCTCACTGACAAAGGTCCAGAATTTGTCCCACACATAAGCTCATTTGTCCTATTTTGACTGCTATGCCATCATAAATAGTAAAAATAACCCATCGAAAAATGCTTTAAGACCAAGCAGAATCCTGGTGTGACTTCAGTTAATCAGTTTTGGCCAATGCAAACAATTATTTTTTAAGAGTCCAACATCCAGCTGTGTAAGAAAACATCTGACATAAGCGAAGTCATCTTTCGCTACTGTATTGTTTTTAAACAGAGAAAGCATTTGACTTGTAACTTTCATTTTAAATCTTGGAGCTTATTCTTGAAAGAATGACCAATAAAAAAGTGTGAAGCACGAAAGGCGGCTTATATTAAAATCAATTATTTTGGCTATTATCCATAAAAAAAAGATTCTCAAACAATTGTAAATCTCTAAGTTATTTATTTTATATTAAAGAAAAAAAGAAGCACCCCTTTGCCAGACTGGCTACGGGCCAGAGTATACATGCATTTACAGTTTTGTTTTATTTTATAATGGATGAAAAACAAACAATAAGCGGTATTTGCATGTTTCAAGGTTTACTAGTGCAGTTTTGTAACCTTTTCACAGAAAGTTCCAGCAACTCTCAGTCTTGTGTCCTACATGCAGGGGCGCAACTGCACATTTACTGATGGGTATGCGGCTTCAACTTTTACGCGCCCCCCTTTCAATCCAACTATATTTTATAAACAGGCAAGTGATAAAATGTGGAAAATATTTCCATCAATAAATTAAAGATATTTTTTCATAAAGATATCAATATGCTTCAAAAAAATACAGTTTCGCATTTCTGAACACAACTGAAATAGTATGAAGTAGTACATTAAGCATGTTAGAACATTGCAATTACTTCTCACATGCATACTGTGAGAAGTGTAAGGTCTGTCTTTGCAAGAACATTGATTGAAACTGCTAAATGTTAAATAAAAAAGACTGTCAAATGTTCAGTGTAAAAAAAAAAACAGAAACAAACAAATGTTCTGATTAATTGAAATGTTATAACTTTGTTTGTAGCTAAAATTAAAATAGTTTCAAGCTAAGAAGTTACCAAAAGGCCTGATGAATCAATATGATGCATAATAAATTCATAAAAACATGTATATGGTATGAAAAATGGGGGTGGGGGGGTGTTGGGTGGAATGATTTTTTAATTTAATAAAATACAATATTATACGCGTATAAAATGCTAAATAAACATTTTTAACATATATATATATATATATATATATATATATATATATATATATATATATATATATATATATATATATATTATTTAAAACTTTTAATATGGATAATTTCAAAAATAGTTTTGGCACAATGGCGCCCCCCATGTGTGGCGCCCCTATGCGCCGCATATACTGCATACCTCCTTTTTGCGCCACTGCCTACATGCAGCTCACCCTGTACTGTAAAAAATGATATGACAAAAAAGTAATGACTACAAAGGTTTTTGAGTTACTTTATCTTATTTTAATGAGTTAATCAGGTACCAACTACATTTTTAAGTTATGTAAAGTTTAACATAATATTTTTGCCCGTTTTGCATAAATTAAGATGAAAAGAAAAGTTTGTTTGATTCAACAACAAAAAAAAGGCATCAAGTTTTTTTTGCAGTGTGTACATACATATCCTTTTAAACCTGTTACCAAAGTTCCTTAAAAAATATTATACATGGAAATTATATTTGAATATATAAAATAAATGCATGTATCCCTTTAATTTGTGTAAGAATGAATTTACAAGTACTGTAATTACAATTTCATTAAATTTAAATTTAAAATTTAATTAATTTGATTGTAAACCTAATTTAGCTGTATGTATATGTTTAAATGGTTGCAAGAATTGTTTGTAACCTTTTTACAGAAAGTTTCAGCCTAAATGTATCGTAAATGTAGCTCACCCTGTAGGTACATCTCCTCTCCCTCCGTGAACATCTGATTGCACCTGCTGCATCTTGCACAGCTTGGATGATAGTGCTTGTCTCCTGCCTGTGAGGGAAAAGGTCAATATTCAGTGGTCCACAAAAAAATTAAACACAAATTTCCTCACATCCATGAAAAAACAGTCTGTGCGAAACCGAACAGGTGTGCTGTCACTTCACTGCACTTCACTTCTTCTAAAAAGAGATCCTTTTCTCCTGCTTCCCTCTCATTCTTTCACTTTGCATCACTCCATGTCTCTGTGTGTGTGTGTTCACAGTGAATGAAGCTCTGTTCAGATCTGCAGAGTCACTGTTTGCACACACACACTATCCCATCTTGCATTACACAGCCACACAAAAATACCTTTCTGACCTCCGGATGCTTCCAGGTCACAAAAGAAGCAAAGAAGGCTGTGAAACAAATATCTTTAGTGTTTAACCTTTCCATCTTTTTCTTAAAATATGAAAAAATGGGATGTTCAAGTTTGTATTTGGATGAGAGGTTTTATTTTTTTTAAAACCCTTTTAAACAATGTAGTGATGTTGCAGTTGGAAGACTTTCTAACCTCAAGATCCAACTAAGTTCTTCAGGTCTCCAGCTGTGATTCTTGGAGATTTTTTAACCAGTTGAACCATTCAATTGACAGTAAATTGGAATAATAGAAACAATTATTCTTTAAACTTATTCATAACACTTCCAGTTGAGTGGACTTTCTTAATTATTGCAATTTGGCGTTAATAGGTATTTTCAGTGTTTTTCCTATTTTTTTATATACACTTATAGCTATTTTATGAAGCTCAACAACCCCTTGACCCAAATAACAGGTCTGTTCTGGGTTTACCCATTGTGATGGATAACTCAGTGAGTTTGGGCTATTTTACATTGTATGTAAAGTCCTATAAAACAGAAGGGATTGTTGAAAAATGTACAGTTCCTTTTACCCGTTGTTATGCTACAAATAATACATTTAAATGACAGTATATTTACAAAATATGCTGTTGATGTGAATATATTAGGGTTCCAATAATTAAGAAACACATTTATTTAACATAATATAATATAATTGTAATGTTATTGGACACTGACAAGGCCAATGTGGATCCAAATGCAGGTTTATTCAAGAGAGTTGTCATACAAACAATTGTCAGAGCAGGAGCAAATAGGTACATGCAGGGAATTTAAGAACGTAGTCATAAACAGGTGGATGGTCAAAAGGCAGATTAGACAGGATTGAACAATAAAAACAAAGCAGGGCAAGACAGGGCAAGGCTAAGCAAAGCAAAGCAAAGGCATCGCAATGTCATAGATACGCAGACTCAGCCTAGAAGTGTGTGTGTGTGTGTTTGTGTGTGTGTGTGAGTGTGCTGTATTTAAAGTCCATGTAATCAGTTTATGAGCAGCTCACAGGCCGTATGTGTGTAATCAACCGAATCTGGAACTGGTGCGTGTGAGCGGTGCATGACTAGATATGTAGTTCATAATGTGGCGGATTTGTAGTTCTCCAGCAAACTGCGTGATTACTTGTATTCTGCAAGGCTGGATCGCTGGTGATTGTGATAAAAATATAGTAAAATATAATATACAGGGTTCTTCTTGAAAGTAAGTGAATTACAGACATATGAATTCAAGGGTTGGGAAGTATTTGAAAGCATACATAAAAAAGTGCTTATATTAAATTTTAAATTTAGGGCTTGAACCAGCGACCTTCTATATATAGCACTAGCACTACCTACTGCGCCACCACGTTGCCATAATATAATTATTTAAATATATAAAAAAATATAGAATTTTGATTAGTTTGTAATTGTTTGTCCTCATTGAGAGCTGAAGGTTTTTTTTTTTTTTAATTTGCTCATATTTACCAAAGTGGAGGGCACTGAACATGCATATCTTTTACAGTTGTAGATGTAAATAATGTTGCAAAGCCTGAGCCTGAGCCTGCATCATTCATTTGAGCATGTCAAAAGCATGCGTGCAAAGTATCATAACATGTCCGCCAGACTCAGTTGTGAGCTGGATTGCTGATAGGGGAGAGCAGGGAGGTTATAGGGAGCTGAAGGGCTTGATAAACACTGCAGTCTGTCTGTCAGACTCTTCACTTCTTTAAGGTCATTCTTAACCATAAGCGGAAAAATATGGATATGATCACAAGGAGACCTTCTGGGTAGATGTAGAGGTTACTGATAGTTGCACATACTTTTTTTTTTGCAAACAGTGTTACTGTTTACTCTATCTTAAGTAATTTTGCTTCTCAATTAAAAGCATTTTATTTACAAATATTTAGATGCTGTAGCTGCATTCTCTCTCTTTTTTTGCAGTTTAAATGAAAAATCATTGACCTTTCAATTTAATGTCAAGTAGCACAACAGTTTACAACATTGATATCAAGAATTAATAACATTTTTCCAACTTGGAGAATCCCTTTTTACTGTAAGCTATTAAATTACAATAAAAAATATAGTAAATAGTAATTCTCCTGTTATAAATATTCCTGTTATAAATGTAATTGAAATCAAATATGAGCTGTCTTAGTGAGCAGAACATAAGAAACAGTATACTGACCCCAAACTGCAGAGTAGTGTAGCATAGTCATAGCTCAAGGTGCAGTGCATTCCACATAATATTCATAACATGTTTCACTCTCACTCTGTGTGTGTGTGTATATGAGATCATCACTCTCGGTCATGCAGCACACAGCTGTAAGTGATCTGCAGGAGTGTTTCATCATTCTGCTGCTTTTAGTTAACTCTGGGAATGCTGATGAGCCCTGCAGTTCTGACATCTCTCTCTCTCTCTCTCTGTCTCTGTCTCTCTCTCTCTCTCTCTCTCTCTCTGTCTCTGTCTCTCTCTCTCTCTCTCTCTGTCTCTGTCTCTCTCTCTCTCTCTCTCTCTCTCAGCTTCAAAACCTCATTAAACCCTTGGTTCTTGAGACATTTTGTCTTATTGTTTTTTTTTTTCTTTTTGATTTGTACCCTTTATTTCGTTCTTAAATTCTCCCAATAAACTAACATTCTGCCAGTAATTACTGCACGTCATGTCATTCAAAGCCTGTATGACTTTCATTAGAGGTTTGAAGGATAGTCAGAAATTTCTTTTCCATTTAATGGATGCTCGCTAAAGTTGTGACAAACTGATATAATCAAAATAGCATTAATACTACTCTATTTTATCAGTGATTTTGTTGGCTCAGAAAGTCTAAAAATTAACAACAAAAGTCCTGTAGCAAAACATGTTTCCATCCAAAGCTGCAAATTTAACGAAGGGTTGGGCGATTTGGCCCCGATTTGGTTCTGAATGTCGATTTTTGATTACTTTTCGATTCATCTTCCAGCCCTTTATTTATTATTAATATTATTATTATTTGAGGTAGTTGTTTGGGAGTGTTCTTGATATTAATTAGCATTTTTTTTTCTTTGAGGCTAACTCTGCCTTGCACCTATGGCTAATTCCGTGTTGTCGGCTTATTAAGCGGAAGCTGAATGTGCGTCTGGGTGGCTTTTTGTTTCGATCGCATATCTGGCTGATCCTCCTGTTTTTTGCTCTGTTGCGAGCATGACCCACTCGCAGAGAATCTTTACGTATCTTGCTGTCCTGTTGAAGGTTTGAGAATTCTGTGCGTGTCTCGTGCAGCCGCTGCTGAGGAGCCATGCTGGTGTTGTTGCTGTTTGTTTCATTCTTTTTTATTTGTTTGTTTGTTTAATTATTTTGATTACGTTAATATTGGTAAAAGACATGTATTTTTGTCTCTAATTGTTTTTCTTGAGTTGCGTGTCCTTTTTATCTTGCTGACCCCTCCCTAGATGAGCCTTATGAATTGGTGTTCGTAACTAGTGGTGTAGTCCTAGAAAAAAAGTTGGTGTACTATTACACCAGACACAAATTTTAAATGAAAGTAGGCAAAGAAACGACGAAAATCAATGTTTCTTCGATTCATTTGAGGTTTTTATATATATATATATATATATATATATATATATATATATATATATATATATATATATATATATATATATATATTTTTTTTTTTTTTTTTTTTTTTTTACATCAGTTACCTGTATTTAAGTTAACTCAAAAGGGCCTGTGCATACATGGAAAGACAGCTTTTTAGCTTACTTTCTTTACTGGCTTGTTACTTTACATTTTATAGATCCTTTAAACATCAATCAGCAATTATTTTTAATTGTCACATTTGTGCATGCTTGTTTTAAACCAAACTATTAGGAGTCTGTCTTCTGTTGTCGCGATTATATACTAGTGGTTACCCTTTTAAATCGCACATTGTTACGTGATTCATGAGTAGTGTTTGCCTAATTGTTTTTAGTGTTATATACGGTATAGTGTCGTTCACTAGCGGCACAATTAAGACAAATGTGAAATACTGTTTTACAGGGGCGATTTTAGGATTTTAATTTTAGGGTGGATCATAATCAGATCCTTTTGGGGTAAACAAAGAAAAATGTGTCATATATATTTAAGTAAGAATTGTAAGAAATAGGCACATCTTAACAAATTAAGAGTTAAAAAAAAAATCTGTTTGGTATACAGTTAAAGGGGACGCAAATACATGTAAATTAGGGGAGATTAATCTGAAAAACAAGTGAATATTCTGAGGGTATACTCAATTATTGATCCTCAGAAATGGTAATACCCAAACAGCTCATGGAAAAAAGTAAGCATACTGAGTATACGTGCGTATAGCAAGGACTACACCACTGTTCGTAACACATGTGCTATAAGTGAACTGGGTAAACAAAAGTTGGCTGTAGTGTATGATTATGAGTGAATGTGAAAGTGTATGGGTGTTTCCCAGTAATGGGTTCCTGTTGGACGGGCATTAGCTGTGTAAAAGATATGGCGAATTAGTTGGCGGTTCATTCCGCTGTTGCGACTCCTGATAAATATGGGAATAAGCTGAAGGAAAATTAATGAATGAATGAATGAAATTGTCTTTTTGTCAAAAATAGTTCTAAATTAGCTTCAGACAAGTTCAAATATGGCACAGAACCACTTCTACAATAATTCACAGCTTCACATTCTTTCCAGTGTAATTCATGAAAAAAAAAAAG